ACCCAAAACTCTAGGGTCGGACCTCAACTCTCTATATATTTTGTGCGGGAGTGCGAAAACTCTGGACTTGGGCGGGCCGGTGTTCTCTATGCTCTCTGACTGGAACGACCGGCCCGAAACTCTCTATGACGGTGCGCCGGGCCGAAAATCTCTGCAACCCGGGCCACGGCTAAAAATCTCTCCGGTGAGCAAAAATCTATGGTGGTCGAATAAAACACCACAATGACCACCATAGTCGGATGCTTATATGATGCTCTGTATCTGTACCGGAGATCCGTTGCTGTGCAATGACCGAATCAAGGGACTTGAGCAAAGGGTACCATTCACGACGTAGGCGGCGCTTATAGTCCTTGCGAAGTGAGTTCTTCGTTGATCTGGCGGCGAGTGTTCTCCCAACGTCTTCATATACTCCGCATATCTCCACTGAGGCCAGAGCTGAACACCATCATCAATTGTGAGAGTTGCGGCAGGCATTGACAAGCAATGAATCTCACTGTCGACATATTCCAAGGGTGATGAACACAGTGTCAATATCCCACGAGCGATGATATCCAGGACGTCATGCTCGCGCACAAGTGCTGCTATGCACTCCGAAACGTATTTAGTGAGATAACTGGTTGCGGGTAAGTAATGACAAGGTTGCGCGCAGTCCTCAATACTGACCTCAAAATGCCTTGCACGCTTTTGATGATGAGCAAGTGTAGGTGTGCGTGATCTGGCGGAATGTTCTGTCGGCGCCCCTCTCTCCTGACCATCTCACAGAGGGAACGGACTAGGCCAGATGATAGGAGGTACGGTCGAAATCCCTCGTGGGTCAGGACCGTCCGTTGCAAAGCGATGCAACTCGCAAGTAGTGGATGGCAATTGGGGTCATTGGTGTCCACAGTTTCGACCGTCACTGTCAGACGCTTCAAGTATGATTCGGCACCGTACTTCAGAAAGACTTCTTGCTCAATGAAGCGCCGCAGTTCGTCATGCTCCTCAATTAAAGACGCAAATACGACTGTACCCAGCATTTCGAAGGCGTCTCGCCAAGGCTCGTCGCGATAGAACCAACACATGAGATATAGCTCACGAGTGCTCAAGAACTCAGGACTGTCGGGGTGATAGGTAAGTACATCGCTGAATGGGCTTTAGTTAGTGATGCAGTTAAGGTTCCAAGATCTTTGATCTCACCGCTTAGCATGCAAGTACGAACCGAGCATGTTACGAAGCAGCATCCTGAGTTGTCTGGGTACGCCAGGCGCGGCTCGTTCCAGACGGTTCCCATCGATGAATATATCTCGGTGAGTTGAGCAACGCTCCCAAACCCCCAAAGCCAATTCACAGATGTCGTCGCACAAGCGCGACTTCTCTTGCATGAAGCGTGGCCCGGCTTGGAAACATCCAAGAATTGCCTCCATGACCTTCATCATGTCTAACACCCAATTCTAGGGAGGAAAGGTCACCGCATTTCCAAGAGTAAGAGAAAGAGGACATACTGAGAACTCGTTGAAGAAGTCTTCTGACGAAACGGCTTCTAAACATAGGGAGCATAGCCCGGCGTCCAAGAGATTCAGCCAAGGCTTCGAAGGACGATAGCGGGTATCTGCTACTTCGATGTCGATAGGGATGAGGGCTGAATGAGCGAATACCGAGAGCGTTCGGGTTAGACCCCATAAAACAGGATTCCTGAGACCACATGGAGAACGCTCGCGATACGCGGTCAACCATACACGAATGAAACCATGAGGATCTCTGCGAAGGAGCTCATCAACCTCGCGAAGTGGTTCTTTGAGGTAGCCGGCAGTTGCGTAGCTGGAACAGCGTAGGATCAGTATAGGGAAGAGGGAAGTCAGACGACAGGCCACGAACACTTCATCAACAGTTCGTGATGGGTCACTCAGTAAGTCCCGCGCCCAGAGTGGAGGCATGGTTTCTATCGCTTTGGGAGTGCTCATGTCAAGGGGACGAACTGAAGAATAGACACTACTGGCGCGCAAGTACAGTATCTGGTCAGATACTAAGAGTTCGTGGAAGCCAGACTACGCTGGCCCAATGAGCAAGTCGATCGTGATGCTTCGTGATGGTGGTCGAAGACAAGACTCCGATGAGAATTGTGCGCGCTTGTTAGTCTTCACGTTCCCCGGCTTCACGATGCTCATCAGTACCCCTGAAAACCCGCACGCATCTGCGAGACGAATCCGGGGCTGTCCTTCGAGATGATCCGGGGCTTAGTAAGCTGGAGGTTCGAGATAGTCCGGGGCTCGGGGATGGGGTTCGATACGCCGAGCACCGGATTGCAGAAATCGGACCAAATATGGGAATGGCGCTTTGGGTTATGAACTAGGTGCACGAAGTCGCCGCGCTGATTCAGTGCAGTGGCAGGTCCTTGCACACATAGTATACGCGGTAATATGGCGATGAATGAAAAGTATGGCCGCGTCGAGGGGTAGGTATGTTTCGATGCGAAGTACTGAGGTTTAGGACTCGAAGGAACGGGTGAACAATGGCGAGGAGTACACGAACGACTTCCTCTCGCGTCCACTGTGACGCGCTCACGAGACCGACGCGCTTGCGCGGCGTCGCGAAGGTGGGGAACACCGAGGGGACACTGCCATCTTTGGCATTCGCGAGTCGAAGACGCCGGATGCTCAAGCGCCCATGGACTAAAGGAGCGGCGAGCCTATCATAATTCGAGGGGAAATGCGCCAGATAATCGATGAGTAACGCTCATTGCATATGCTTCGAGACTAATCCGATGCTCAGGATGACCGGACCGAGTGAAGTGCGAGACAATCCGGTGTTCGAATCCGGTGCCCCCTATCTCGCACCTTTGTGCGGGTTTTCAGGGGTACTTGCTCATCTACGCCGTGCAAGCGCTATGCCAGCGTCTGGGGTAATGCTCTGTCGGAATGCGGAGACTACCCCTGGATACGCCTGTTCCGCCACGGGCGCTCCTCGGCGAATATATATAAACCTGTAGTGGACATGGAAGTCTTCGGAGAGAAGCGGAAGCTAGGCACCGACTACGTGGCCGTGGTGGGCGTGCAGGCCACGTTCGGCGACCGATGGTTCCTTCCCGCCCTTGTGGCGCGCCAGCGGCAAAGCGCGACTTGCTTCTGACCAGCACCTACGAGACTGCGACTGCAGCTGTGGCTCACCTTCGTACCATCGTAGGTAGCCGAACTCGAATATCATGGCTATCTTCATGGATGTTGAAGTACACGTAGTGAATATTGATCAGAGGTTCTTCGCTTTGTCGCCACCCCGACCCGCTTGATCCCCGGTCTCTTCTTTGCTCGGGTCTGGTCTGAAGTGTCCCACTGCATCCTGATAACGCATCTGTGACCTTCGCTCGAGGGTTCCGTTGCATCTCACGATCTGAGTCCTACAGCCAATATGCCGCAACCACCCCGCGCTGCACACGCGCCAGACTCACCGCGCTCCTCACACTCACCACCGCCGACGGGTCTGCAAGGAGATGTCGAAATGGAACTCATGGGACTTGCCTCGGCACTGTATACATTGGGCATGACTGTTGTTGCTGATGCAACGCGCGAGAAGGGACCCGCAGGCGCTCGGAAGCAGGTCGGGGGACGAGTGTACGTATCACTCATTGTTTTGCACGAGGGCCAGTGGTGCTGACTATGATTCTTGTGTGCAGGGAGAACGTTGTGCAGCATCTAGCAACGCTCGACTTGATGTCAAAGGAGCTACATACGCCTGTCCCGCTCGCCGTACTGGAGTCGATTGACAATGCACGGAACCCAGCTGCTTTCACGCGCGAGACGGTTGAGCGAGCCGCTACCGAGAACCAATTCTTGCATGGGAAGATGCGTGCGGTTGAGGTACGCTACCTTTTGTTCAACAAATCACCATCTCGACCCGGTGTGCTGATCATGCCCGGCCGGCGTAGTCATACAAGATGATGTTGGACGACGCGCTACGTGATGCTTTTCCTGAGATTGCGAGTGCTTTGCCTCCAGCGCAGCCGTCTGGCGAGGCGAACGGTGTGCAGATAAAGACAGAGAACGGTGCATAGTAGGATCTGAACGTCAGGGTGTGAACGGGGGCTGTGCCTTGTACCGAATGTAGCGAATAGCGTACACGTATCACTGTCCATTTGTGTCCTTAACAGGATTAATTAAGATAAAGATCTCGCCGTCTCGGACCTGTCAACGGTCACTAGCTTGCGGTTGCCAGGCCCATGATAGCGACGCCCGTCCGCTGACGCCCGCGCCGGAGAGGCGGAAGTGTCATGTTAATAAGGGCGCTCGGGGGGCGCGCGGAGCCGCTTTGCCGCCCATTCGCTCTCTCTTCTCGCTCTCAGCAGCCCTCTTTCTCGCCTCTCTTTCTTTCTCGACCACATCTTGACGGCTATACCCCGTTCCCGTTCCCGTACCGTCCACGCTCGCTTGATACGACTTCTCGACGAAAAGATCTAATCAGGAAACGAATATCACCTTCTACCTCGTTCCACGTCCAACGTCAGCGCCCATGAGCGCTCTTCTTGACAAGTATACTGCCCTCTCGGGAAAGAGTTCAAGGGACGATGTATTCAAAGCTTTGAAGGGGATCGAAGATGGTGCGTCTATTCCCGTATTTGGGAAAGCTATGTATTGATACTGCCGCACAGCGTCGCCGCTGCAGGTGAAGGACGGCGAGCGTATACGGCTCGTCAACGCGCTGCTTGATGACCTGAACAAGCTCAAGAAGGGCAAAGATACCAGCAGACTGGATATCTCCGGTATGCGTGCTTCCATTTCATTATCTTCGGACCTTCCTGAGCTAGTCGGTATAGATGCCGCGCAGGCGTTGGGCGCACTCAAGTCGTTGGGAAAGCACCCGAGTGGTGCCCGCATCCTCGCACAGAAAGATAATCTCTCTTTCTTGCTCGCACTTTCGGAGACATACTACAAGGAGAATCTGGATGCTGCGCTTGAGTCCCTGCGCTGTATTGCAAACTCGATGCTGCTTGTGGAAGAGGCCCGGCGGACGCTTATCGGCGAGGATATCAAGGGTGGAGACATTGCACTGCGCTTACTTGAGGTGCGTTTCGCCGGTTACCGTTGTATTTGTCTGAATGATATTGATGACTCCCGCTGTAGAAATCAAATTCCCCCGATACGATCTTCTTGAGCAGTCGTATACTGTTCCTCGCCACAGCATCTTCCGCCCACGGCGGCCCGCTCGTCATCCAGTTTGTCGACGAGAAGGGTGCTCTGGAAATTATCGCGACCCGCATCGACTCGCTTCTCGTAAGCATCCTCGCCGGAACGAAGATGGCCCGCGAGGCCTTGACCGACTTGCTCAAGTTCTCGTATAACCTCCTCGCTCACTATCCCAAGGTTAGCTTGTTGTATCCGTATTGAGTGTACCTGTTGGTCTGATGTCATGCATAGATCGGTGATAGCGAGCTGGTTCAAGACTTCGGATGCGGCGATGAGCAGCGCTGGTCCGCAAAACTCGACGTTCTCCTTCCTCCAGCTCTGCGGGCATTCAACGCACTCCCGCCAACGCCCAATACGCCCCTCGCAGCTCCGCTGACGCATGTCATCCATGCCCTGATCGAAATACCTGTTACACCCAAGAATCGTTCGACCTGGCTGCCTACCGCAACGCCCGAACGCCGCTCCGGCTCGTCCAGCTCCCGTCCCTCGCCAACGCAGACTCCCGCTGACCTTTCTGGTACAGCGCCGAGTAGTCCAAAAGAAGGCAAAACTGGAGCTCTCGATAGAGCCATGAGCATGCTCCACGCCGGCCGCCGCTCGTTCTCGTCCCGACCGTCCTCGCCCAACCCCGCCATGCCACGGCCATGCCCGACAGATACCGCAATGCACGCCGCGGATCTTCTCGACAGCGCTCTGGCACACTACATACCCGGTGCAGTCGAACCGGACGACCCCTCTGTGCGATCTCGCATCCAGAATGAAGCGAAGGCGACGCTCGATGAACACTTATGTCCGCTGGTCGTGTTACTAGCCAAATTTGCGCGCGCCGATGATGCCTGCCGCGCAAAACTGAAGGAGTGGGTCGTGCCGGCCAATCTTGACCGGACGATACCACTAGCGGAGAGAGAGGATACGCTAGGAAGGTTGCTAAGGTGTCTGCCGAGCGTGTATCATCCTCGGTTGAAAGCTTGTGTGGGCGAATTCTTGTTCGCCTGCTGCAACCAGGATTGTGCGTACTCTGCCCTGCTGCACTGAAATGATGGCATGCTGACACATTCTCATAGCCATGCAAATGATCTCGGCATTCGGCTATGGCTCGGTCGCCGGCTTCCTCTTCAACAAGGGCATCGTCACTGGTCCACCATCAGGCGTAGAAGAAGTTCACCCCAATGCGACCATCAACCCCATCACGGGTGCCATTCAGCAACCACAACAGGATGCGGACGAGATGACGGAGGAAGAGAAAGAAGCTGAAGCTGAGAGGCTGTTCGTACTCTTCGACCGCTTGGAAAGGACCGGCGCGATACCACCCAGCGCAAATCCTGTCCGACAGGCAATGCGTCGCGCAGCGGAGAGCTAGAGCTTCGGCGAACCCTCCCTGACCGTCATGCTTGCTTTGGCTACTATCTTCATCCCCATGCCTTGAGCGTAACCATTCAAATACGCCGACTTCGTTCTCGCTCTTAGTACCATCGTCGCGAATGCACCTCATGTGCATATGTACATCCACCCCATCCCCAAGGACCACCTATATATCTTTAACTTCTGCTTCCCGATATACCACCTCATCATCCCCATGACTTCTCATCTACCATCCACCCTCAATCTGTGCTTCTCTGCCTCGTCTATCCGCGCTTCGCCAGTGTTTGTAGTACCTTACTCTTTTCGCCGTTGCTAAAGCTGGGCCTGTGGGCTCTAATGTCATGCTCGCTTCTCACTTGTCGCTGGCCATGACGAGATTGGGCTTCTATTCATAGTGTAGGGTGAGTCATGCATTTCCGAACAGTACTCCGGGCGACTGTATTGACTGTGAGATAATAGGAATTCATGATATCGTGACCGGCATTTGTGACACGCGTGGAGGCGCTGAATTTGATGGCCAACTAGCGCGCTGCGCTGGTTCGGTTCTTCCCTTCAACCACCTCGTACATCAACTGCATCTGGATCCCCTCGTCCCAACCCGTCTCTGTCAGACGCTTCTCATGAGCTCAGGCGGTTCCGAATGGGATTCAGCCTGAATGGACGCAGAGACCGCCTTCTGTTTACTTGACTAGATCCTGCACTACGGAGGTCACCGACCCTTCGCCGAGCTCTGAATATAGCTGCAACACACCATGCGTTGATGTATCGAAGCAGCCGATATGAGCTCGCTGATTAGCATGGCTTCTACGTCAATGGGGGCGGCCTCCCCTCCGGGAATCCGACGGCCGATTCTTCCTTTAGCGTGCTTTGCACGTCCTCTGCAACGCCCACGGCGAGCGCTGGGCTGGCTGTTCTTCTCTTTCATACTACCCTGTCTGTTCTCTCTGTGTACTCTTCTTGTAAGATATGATCGTGCGGCAGATGGCGTTGCTCGTAACGGCGTTTGTCGCGGCTGCCGCGACACAAGATCTCTCTGTCCCGTCCTCATGGCAGGTGAGACTGCTCTTTGAAATACCTGTTGTAGGCAAAGCTAACGCGTCCCTACGACTAGAACACAACATCCAACCTTCCGTGCTCCGAGCGCCAAAACCTCGCACACGATGCTGCCGCCACTCTCGTCTCGCATATCGCCCCGGGTCAAGGCTTTGTTGAAGGTACGTCGCATTCGCCGGGTCTTCTTGACTGTGAGTCTCATACGGACGCAGGGCTGAAAGGCTATCAGACCATCGGGAGTCAGTTCGCCGTACTTGCGCAACAGGACTGGTTAAGTGGGAACAGGACATGGGAGAACACGGTCACGAGCAATATGCAGGTCTTCACGCAGAAGTGGGTCACCATCTCTGCTACTCTCGTCTCGCCCCCTCTCATCGTAATGTCAAGCACCGTGCTGACTTGTGTGGCGCAGACTTGGTGTATCTGGCAACAACCCAAAGCGATGGAGCAACGTCGCATACTGGTCTCTGGTTTACATCTACGCGTACCAGGCATATGGGCAGGATTCTCTACTTAAATCCGCCCTGTCGCTATGGACGGACATTTACAACAGCGTTTTTATCTCCGATGCCGCTGTAGCGAGTGGAGCAAACGCGAGTACAGCTGGGCGCAATGTATCATACCCGCCACCGACGGGGTGCACAGACAGTGCGTGAGCTTCGCGCTTGTGCGACTCAGAAAGAGCTGAGCTTAAGCCCTGTTGCAGGTACGATTGTGGGTGGCGTGTTTTTCACGGATGTTGCAAACAACACTGTCATCAACGGCGAGACGGTCGGAGCGTTCATGGCGTACGTCTTCATCACCCCCTTTCCTTTGCTCTACGCTGACCCTCTGTACGACAGGGCATCAGCATACCTCTACGAGGCAACGCAAAACACGACCTATAGGGACGTCGCCCAGCTATCTTTGGACTTCATGACTCATCATCTCTGGAGCAAGTCTGCCTCCAGGCTAGGAATGCTATACGCTGACCTATAACGATGCTAGACGGCACCATCGTCTACGACAGCTTTGATCCAAGAACATGCAAGACCTCAGATACGACGACCTTCGTAACCTTCAATCAAGCATGGTTCATTGAGGGCCTGAGCGTCATGGCGAATGAGACGAAGAACGATACCCTGGTCAACTTGTACGTCTACCCGGCGTATAACATTATACAGCCCGCTTACGCATTTGCAGGCTACATACTGCAGTACCGAGCACAGCCACCTTTCCGGCGTGGACATTGCAGAGCGGCGTGATCAGTGAAGGAAGCGCGGTTGACGATCCACGGGCAGACTTGAAAGCCTGGTTCGTGCGCGGACTCGCAGAGGCATGGAGGCGGAATCCCGGAACCGAGCTGGCGAAGTACATCGAAAGCTACATCACGGTTCAGGTGTGTGTGGCGAAGCTCGTACGACTCGCTCGATGACTGACTGAGACACAGTATAACTCTATCTTCAGCAACTCTCGCGCGGAAGGTACCAGCTTCTACGTGCCGTCTTGGTTCGGTCCCTCCAACACATCCTTCCACGCGCTCGGCAGCATCGCAGCGCTCGACGTCTTGAACGCCGCATTCAGCTTCGTGGAGCGCGACAGCACCGGAAGAGACGGGAACTCGACAACGCCCGATACACGCGACAGCAGCGGCGGCGGCGATGATGACAACTCGGTGAAGTCCTGGCACGCTGGCGCTATCGTCGGTGGTATCGTCGGTGCTGTGACGGCTCTGCTCATTGTGGGCTTTGGCTTCTGGCTCCACCGCCGCCGCGCACGTCGACGGTCAAGTGCAAAAATGTCGCAGGAGAAACTCCAGGAGGCCGGAAACGGTCGAGGCGATGGCATCGTTATCGAGCCCTTCCTCGGAGGACACGAGCACTCTGAATCGGGTTCCGATCAACCCTATACACCCACCGATCCCTTCGCGAGGGCGCATGCGAACAGTTCGGGAACCGTGATGCCTGTGACGGTCGGGCAGCAATCGAAGTCGGACAGATATAACTTGAGCGTGCCGCAACTTGCGTCTTCGCCAGTCTCCATCACCGGCGCCAGATCTCTGCCGGTCGCCTCGTCACCGTCTGGTTCAGGTGGAGAAACAACCCTCAGCTCATCCAGACCACCGCAATCCGAGTCCGAGGATATCCCGGGTCTGGTGCAACGCTTGAATAGCCTGTTACAGGCTTCGGGACATGGGCCGATCATCGCGCCCGTTGGCGAGACGGGGACGTACGATGAGGCTCCCCCTCAGTACGAGAGGGAGGTGCGGTCCAACTCAGAACCCTGAGTTCTTCACAACAGACATTCTCCTGCCCGTACTCTCCGTCGACATGCTTTGTACACTTGCTCTGTATACCACTCACTCGTTACTTATACCGGATCGTGCACACCCTATCATACATCGTTTGGCTTGAACCTCCCTCGCGCCCGCTTCCAACGAAGTGCTTGTCTCATGTCGGGCTATACGGGCTGATTTCGATCCAGCCATGTGGACAACAGATCACTCGGCCCGTACACTGATATTCTCGCAAGAGGAGCCTGGGAACGCAACGTCGAGATAGGATGGAAAATGATGCTTCGAGGAAGAAGTTCGGTGTATAAAAGTGCGAGCGCATTTCGGGGCTGATAAGCACGTTCTACGAGCACTACGCTATACTGGTACGCCCATCGATTTCACGACGGATCGCATAATGATCGGTTCACTTTCCACGACGTAGATCGCCTCCCATGCTGAATTCCAACGATAACTCCAGCGACAAGCGCAACGCAGACTACATGCTCGTCGACGGCCCTGCCGAAATACGGCGGTCTGTTGCCCATATAACGAGATGGATGATCCCGACGATTCTGATCAAATACCCAGATTGTCTACCATGTACTACCTGCTGAAGTACTTCTTCGACAACCAGAACTTTCTCCCCGAGCCGATCAACATCGAAGAGATTGGCAACGTGCTCGACGTCGGAGCCGGCACAGGAATATGGACATTGGATCTCGCTGATCAATCAGCGGCGGCTGCCCGCCTCCCGCCTCACGACTGTGAACATCCTCTCCGGCTTTCCATGTGCGATATATCCACTGCGAAGTTTCCTCCAGCGGAAGTCCTTGCACCAGTGGGGATCAAGGCTTTCCAACACGACGTCCTCACGCCTTTCCCCGCCGACATGCATGGGACATTCGACCTGGTCAACATGAATTATCTCGTCATTGCGCTTACGGAGGATAAGTGGGGAATAGCGCTTAAGAACGTACATGACGTATTGAAACCAGGAGGTTATCTCATTCTTCGCGAGAGCGACCCCGTATTCTACTCGGCGTCTAGCCCTCCACCACCGGACGATGGTACTCCGCACGACTTGCCGTCTCAGATCAACGGCACGACGGTTGTGCACAAGATGAACTCGATGTTGGCAAACTTCGCCATCAAGAATGGTTTCGTCGTTGGGTACACCATAGACCTCTTCTAATGCGGCTGAAATGCAAGCTGACGTTCTCTCTCAGGCTGTCGTATCGATTTCCCGAGTTCCTTGAGCACGCCGGCCTCAGAATCGCTCGACGAAAACGCGTTCTGATGCCGACCGGCGACCTGTGCGATAGCTATACTACAGCTCGAGGCGCTTCTATGGCATCACTGAAGGCCACGAGCATTGATAACATCGACATGGCTCTCGATGGACTCAGTAAGGCCTTGCTCGATAAGGGTATGCTTGAGGCACCGGTGGGCACGAAGATCGAAAGCGAGCAGAAGCGTTTGGAGATGATGAAGGAGGTGCATGAGCGAGTGGCAGAGGGTTTGTTGGTCGTGCAGATGGAGGTGGTTGCGCAACGCCCATGCCCTTAGTAGAGCACTCAGGATACGTGAAGCTGTCTGCGCGCATGTAATAGCATCACTACGCTTGTCGAGTCGTCGCCCTGCGATTCGTGAAATAGAATTGACAAGATGAGGGATAGGAGAGAGCGAATGCAGGGCACCGGATGACCTCCGACCTGGGTAACCACGATTGCATTGTGCTGAGGCAGCTACGAGAGGCTATAATGTTGACAACACCGCCATACAATCCTTCTCAAGTTGAGCAGTAAGTGAGCAACAGAGTGAGCGACCGCGCCGACACGCGCCGGCGCGGTCTGATGAACCACGTCACGTGGGTGCGCCGAAACTTGATCGCGGCCGATAGCGGGCCGAGACTGTTTGTGCGTTGACTATCACCACCAACGTTTAGGGAGCCTCATGCCTCATGTCTCAGGCTTCAAGTCGTCCTATAGTTATACATAATGCAGCATTGGCTCGTGTACTCGCGAGGCGACGTAGGCGTGGTGCACCATTGGAATCCACGTCTTCACCTGCCACGTATTCGGGCAACTCGGTAAAGACGTCCATATGCCTCAACCCACTCACGAAGTATGCATACGTTCTGACGATCATATTATCGGAAGTGCAGCGGCTCTCAATCGATTGAGAGAACGGACTTGACGCTGCTAGTGTGTTGATGGATAGCGTTTCGTCGGCGGGAGTCTCGGTTACCGGTGCTCTCACCTGGAGGAAGGCCGTCAAGAGGCGGTGGTCTGACGACCTGTGAGAGGATCTTCGGCGCTAGCTTGCGATCTCTATGGCCGTCATACCCGCTACAAGCCCCGAACATGGATGATGTAGTGGGCGACTTCTCGTCTGCGACGCCCTTCCTCTCTTAGAGGAAACCCTTATCATAACAATGTGGTCACGATTCTTCTCGAATGGAGCGAGATCACAAAAGAACCTCACACCGTGATGACTACGTTCGCAAGCACTGCCTGCGTTGGGTGCAACCGCTCTTCTGTGATTGCTTAAGAGCCTCTTGCTACAAGCCTTCTCCGCTTCTACTCCTGCCCTAGTCTTTCGAACTTCGATATTCCCGACTTGGGCTGTGCTCGCTATGCCATCCCCCTACGCCCCGGACGAGCCTGAAGCCAACATCATAGGAGAAAGGGGCCTTCTCGTAGCAATAAGTCTTGCTATGGCGACTTGGGGTACTCCCACTGTTGTCCCAGCTCTCGGAGTTCAGAGGCGCTGACTACGGTGCATTACAGGTGTATTGCTCACACTCGTCGTACAATGTGTATCTGTGTTATATGCTGGCGTCTCCCGCAGAGGCAGTACCAAGACGTACACACTCTTGATCTATGTACTGCTCATGTTCTCCCTGGGGACGACGGCAATATTCTGTCACCTACATTGGGTGCAGGAGTTTCTCATTGACAATAGGAACTTCCCAGGAGGGCCGCTTGCATACGATGCTACCCACTACGCCAATGCAGTCAATGTCACCGGGGTCGTGTGGTATGTTGCGAGCGTCGTTGCCAATCAAGATAGACTAACGAGCACTCGCAGTTACTTCGTTATGAACTGGATGGCAGATGGCTTGCTTGTGAGTAAACCTGTAGTGAGCTATCGGCCCTTCCATCTCAATCGTTCAATCAACAGCTTTGGCGCCTCTACATCATATTCAGCCGCCGTGCGCTCATAATAGCGTTTCCTCTAATGATGTATCTCACTGCCGTTGGTGGGTTGCATAGTCGTGCTGTATGCGATATTAGTGCTTGACGCTTGACTGGTTTGCAGGTCTCTCTATCGTTGACCTGCATACCCTGGCCCAGCCGGGTAACAGCGAATTTACTCATTCAGCCATCAACTTTGGTCTTCTCTACTGGTCATTCAGCATAGCGTTGAATGTCATAGTCACTGCTGCCATCGTCGGTCGCCTCCTCATCACACGCAGTCGCATATCTCGCCTTTCCATTGAGCCTCACCATGGGATAGCCTATATCTCCATCTCTGCGATGCTCATCGAATCCGCGGCATTATATTCCATCACTGCCATTATCTTTCTTATTGGCTACTCTCTTCAAAACGAGCTTCAGAACGTTGCCGAGGCAGTGCAGGTCATTCAGGGTGTTGCACCACTAATGATCATTCTGCGCGTGGCTCGCGGTACTTCGGTGGACGACTCGGTGGCCACGACGTATGCGACGTCGGACGCTCGGACGCTCAGATTCGCGCGGGCAGTAAGCGCAACGGCTGACTCGTCGTCAGGCGCTGGAGGTCAGACACAATTGAGCACACCCGACACGAGTGTCGGCTACGGGCCCTCGTCGGAAGCCATATCGTCACTGCGCACTGTGCACCTGCCGCTCGAGTCTGTCGATGATGGTCAAGGTGACGGTCTAGAGATGAACAGCATACAGGCGGAAAAGAAAGTGAGCGACTTGGCATGACCTCACTGGACTATCGTTCGTACATCAAGTACTGCCCCTCCTCACCTATGTACATATGTCGGATCGGCTGCTGTAGCTTGTAGTATATTGCCGCGTGTCTATCTCAGCGATCAGAGTGCCCTGGCTTATATCATGCCGATAACGGTTGACTGCAGCCGCAGGTTGTAAGATGCCGCGAAGGCCACTACATACCAGCATCGAGGGCGGTGTGTCTGGACAAAACAGCGGGAAAGCGGCCGAAAATAGGCCCATGAGTCTTAGCGGGCGCTGCGGCGCTTACTACAGCCTCGTGCTCAGTGAACATATGGGTATGCTCCGTCATGACTGGGAGACTCTACATCGGGTCGTGCATATGTAGCATCTATGGCCAGAACTTCGATGGAAGGACGTGGCGATGGAAGTTGGGAGCAAGGACAGGCAAGGACGGCGCGACGCGTGGCCGATCAATTGATGGCGACGCGTCTCTGGCTTGCGCGTCGCGCGCGCGTTGCGCGTTGTGTTCCTCCTCTCCGCCCACCATGTCCCGGACCTCCTACGATCGGTGTGTATATTCAGTCACATATTTATTTAGGCTCATGGCTTATATACTTCTGCAGATACTTAACAGTCTTCTCACCAGAAGGCCGGTTATACCAAGTCGGTGTGTGAACTACTCATTCCCAAACGCGTACGCGTCCTGAATCGCGACCTCAGAGTATGCTTTCAAGGCGATCTCCGGTTCAGGACACACCTCCATATCTGTGCGTGGGAAGGACACGGCCGTCGTGATTATTCAGAAGAAGATCCCCGTGCGTTCACACATTCGCTGTGGTATATGCTCAAGTGCTGATATTCTGCGCAGGATAAGCTGGTTGATGCGGGCACTGTCACCCATCTATACAGCATAACGCCCAGTATCGGATGTGTCATGACTGGTCTTGTCGGTGCGTGTCTGCTGGAAATACGAGCATTAGTAACCAAACTGAATACGCTCTAGCGGATTCGAAGACGCAGGTCATGCGTGCACAAATGGAGGCGGCCAACTTCAGGTACAAATACGGCTATGAGATCACCCCGGACGCGCTTGCAAGGCGACTGGCGAACATGAACCAGGTCTACACACAACGTGCAGGCATGCGTCCATATGGCATTGGTATGTCTGCCCAACGGATCTTCCCCACTTACATCGTAATAACGCCTTCCTATAGCCATGATCATGATCGGTATCGACCCGGAGTACGGACCTCAAGTATATAAGCTTGACCCTGCGGGCTACTTCGTCGGCTTCCACGCAACAGCCGCAGGCCAGAAGCAGCAGGAGGCGATGAACCACCTCGAGAAGAAGTGGAAGCGTCTCCCTGGTGGCTCCGACGACGCCGCTGCTGCACGCGAGACGCTCTCGCGAGCACAGGTTATCGAAATGGCTATCGAGGCTCTTGCGACAGTACATGCGACGGACTACAAGGCTGCAGAGGTCGAGATCGGCATCTGCAGTACTGCGGATGACGAGCCTGAAGACAAGAAGGGGTTATGGCGTACAATGGACGAGGCTGAGATTGAGAAGCATCTGCTTGCGTATGCCGAGAAGGACTAATGTACTTGTATTGTAAGTGAGACGCGCTATCATGATTTGTTCACTGGACTTCTGGAGGATGATTGTGCTCGCGGATGGCCGTCGGTGAACACTGTCGCGGTGCTGAGACTTTACTACCGCATTCTTTCTTCTGGGTCGTAATGGAAAAACAAATCCGGGATCACTTGCCGAGCTCGGCTTTCTGCTGAACAAAGTTCATTGTGCAAGCACATGTCGTGTATACTTTACTGACATCCAGGGCGACAATACACTGCGCAACGGGTGACCTACCTTGATTGCTACGCTACTCTACTTGTACAACATGATAACAGACCCTCGGCCAAGACTCCTGCAAATCCAATACAAGACGAACAACTACCACAACCCTCTTACTCGATGTTCACCGGCGTTCCCTGCGGCTCCTCAACCTGAATCTTCGCGAGCGTGACGGTGAGCACACCATCCGCTAACTTCGCGCGAACGCTATCCTTATCGGCTGGTCCAGGAAGCGGGATCGTGCGGGAGAACTCAGCACCACCCTCAACGCGGCGCTCGCCATACACGCGCTTCAGCTCGCCCTCCGCACGAGCGGGGAACGACCCCTCAATCGTAACGCTCGCGCCTTCATCGTCAACGCGCGCGGTGATGTCTTCCTTGCGTGCGCCCGGTAGCTCGACCTCAAGCACGATCTGCGCATCGTTCGCGAGGATGTCGACACGCGGGAAGGGCTTCTTGCCATGGCCGAATCCGCCGCGGCCGCGATGGCCGCGCGGGCCGAAGTGGCCTGCAAACGCGCCTCCCCAGGCTCCACCAGGACCGAAGTGGCCCCAAGGACCGTCAAAACCGGAGTGAGCCCAAGCCTCGCCCGGCGGCGGAGGCGGCGGTGGTGGCGGGGGAGGAGGCGGAGCGCCAAAGCGATGTCCGTGGCGACCGTGTCCGTGCGGGCCGCGCGGAGGAGGACGAGAGCCTTCGCGCTCTTCGCCATCGACATCGACGAAGCCCTCGGGCCCGCTGTCGTCGTTCGTATCTTCCTTGTCCTCAGGCGGGCCACCACGGCGCCGATGGCCGTGTCCGTGTCCGCGCCGACCAGGACCCCGTCCGCCCCATCCGCGGAACTGTTCCATCATCTCAGCGTATTCGTCGTCGGTGTCTCCGCCACGACCGCGGTGGCCGCGCCTACCGCCGAAGAAGTCGGGTCCGAAACCTGGCGGGCCGTGGTGGTGGTGGTGGGAGTGAGGGCCATGCTCGAAGTTCGGGAACGGTCCGCCGTTGAAGAAATCATCGAAGTCGAAGCCTGGGGGACGGAAGCCTGGAGGCGGGCCAGGCGGAGGGGGTGGTCCGTGCGATGGAGGAGGTGCGTGAGGCGGCGGCGGAGCACCGGGAGGCGGAGGAGGCGGGGGTGCACGCGGTGAATCGTAACCAGCAGGCATGATTGAGTAGTACTTAGATCGACTGAAGAGAAGAGTATAAGTTGTGTGGTGGTGTATGGTGGGCTGAGCGCTTGGATCTCTGTCGAACTGCTCTATATATACCTATCAGGATAGGCCCGACTACGCAAGTAGCTCCGTCCTAGTGGCTACTCAAAGAATGCGGAAGAAGGTTGCGCAGCAGCCTGTGGCGAGCGCGCATGACGCGTCCGCTGGAGGCGTAGCTGCGGAGAGGCAGGGCAAGCGCAGCCTCGCCGTCGGCGCGCGCGGCGTAGATACCATAGTCGATCTTCGTCGACGGCAGAGCTTACGCGTCTAGCAGTCGTATACATGCCATAGGTGTATAGGGCTACTCATGCCGTCGGATGCGCAGAAGAAGCTATACGACGGAATCGTAGAAGGTGACGCGTCGCGGAGAGTTCGGATCCTCGCAGACGCAATCTGGCTCAGGTCTAGCACGGCGTCTGGACAGATTTCGCACACTCTGTCGTATCGGGGGTATATTCACGATACAAGACAATTGTAGTAAGGACAGGAAGATACGACAACTCGTAATGTCCGCACTAAGTACAACGTGACGATTGCCCAAAGAAACAGCTGCAGACTCGAGAACATAAATACTCTGAAAGGATGGTAAGGCTCAAAGCCCAGAAAGTACGAGAATACGCTATTGCAATACATTATTGCATGCGCAGTCCATTTTGACAATGCATGCGCAGACCAGGTAAGACAGGGACTAGAGACGGTGTCACGTCCTTCACTCAAGCTCAAACTTCGGCACCGCGCCCCGATTGCGCGACTCTTCACCCCACCCCTCACGAGGGGCTCATATCCCACTTCTACGTCACCAGTATCGCATCTCCCGCGTGAGAGTGCGCACTAGTTACGCTTTTGCTGAGCATCCTCCGCCAAAGTCGACGCTGCTCCTTGGGATGCGCAGCAATACCACAGCGCCACGCAAATGAAGACACTGAAGAAGGGGAGGCCGCCAACAGTACCGCCTATCATAGGCCGAGTAGATGCAGCCGATGAGGTCGATGACGAATTTGACCCTGCAGAGGTCGTAGCTGCGACATGCGAGGTAATTGTGATGGCGGACGGGGTGGTGGCGGACAGGATGGCGGGCAACGTGGTTGAAGGCGCCTGTGAAGATGTAGAGGTAGCTGCGGCAGTTCCCTGCGGCAATGCCGCTGCTGCATTCAGCACATCGAGCGCGACGATGTTGCCATCACTGTTGTAGGACGGCGGTGCGGGTCCAACCAAAGACGTCGAGTAGTTGCTACCGGATCGCGCATTGCCTACAAGTTCGTTGTACTGTGTGCACGTGAGAACAAGTTGCACGCTCAGACAGGTGCGCGAGAGGCTTACCTGGACGGCGAGGAAGGATTGAATGAAAGACGTCAAGTCGGTCGAACTTGGGAAGCGGCGCAGGGTCTCGCTAAGCGCTCGAACGAGAATGGCTGATGAAGATGAGCGACAGGCATCGTTGAGTGCGCGACCACATACCTTTGTCGTCCCAGACGTTATCGCTCACGTCAGTATTCGGGTCTGCCGATGCGATCAGCATCAATCGTTCGCACGATCGTACTAGTATGCGCACCCGTCAGAAGGCCCGAGTTCGTCTCGGTCCAGTCAGAACTGAGTACAGAGGTGGATACAACTTGTCGCAGACTCAACCAGGGATGAGTAGGAGGCACAGATGGTAAAGGGGTAACAACTCACAGTCCCAGCATGGATGAGTCGTTTGTGATGTTTGCCCAGATACTCAACGGGAGCAGGTACCACCCTTGGAAGCTTGGGCTGTGTCCGGTGTAGACCTGGCAAGCTTGGACATCGAATACGCCGTACTGAAGATTGGAGCTCGCTATGCGTGGGATGAGATCACCGTCCATTGCAACGATCAAACGGAGACGTACCGTTGTGCATGGTCTTTTCCATGAAGCTCACAGTCTGTAGTCCTAGAGTTTTGTATGTCTCGTTTCGCGTGGCCTCGTATAAGTTCCCGGCAAGTCTATCGTCGCCAGATAAGCGCACGACCTACGGTTCCTGGAGAATCTACTCACGTTGCAAAAGACCTGTGAGAGTCATCAGGTCATTGGTACGCAGATCCGGCAATCGTGGAGACATACCCGACAGTATCTTGCTGTATTTGAGCGTTGTTCGAGACGCCCGGCAGCTATAGACCCAGTTATGTCAGCTTAGACCGATCCTCACATTAGATCAACACCGACCCAGAAGACTCCTCCGGCTGCGACCTTGTCTGCATGCGCTAATCAGCCAAAGCTAGGGACACAATGAGCAGACGAAACGCACCGAAGCACCCAGTAGCATTGAGCCAGGTGATGTTGCGCGGTGGCGTCGGTTTGCTCTTCGGCGGGGTGACAGTGATATCAGCTGTTATGAAGTCGGCTACCGTCGTATCCCACAAACTCTGAGCCATTGTCAGGAACGATGTTTGGTTGTATGCCTTGTATGCATAGTAGCTCGCAATCCCCCATTGCCTGTATCATGATCAGATTGATCATGTATCAACAATGAAGCAAGAAAGCCTACAAGCCATTGGTGTTGGTGCGCTGCGCTTCCTTTGTCCCGTTTCCGAACGGGTCATTTTGCTGAACCCAGGTCTGCAGGTTCTGCGTGACAGATGTCTTCCACGTCTCGTTGCCACTCAGCCAATCTTGCATGGCAAGTGTCGTGTACATGCTCGCGAGCGCTTGTCCGTTGATCTGATCTATGAAGGGCGTCAGCGCTGCACGACGTGCCTCACGATGGCATCGACCACGCACCAGACAAGCTCCCGTTGTTTGTGAGATGGCTGACTAGCGCTTGTGCGGCATCGTTTGCGTAACCATGACGAATCGCTGGGGTGTCCGTCACGGTTACATCCTAGAACGAGTGAGTTAGGGAAGGGTGTATACGAATCGCTCGAACGTACCGTCCAGCTCGAAGGCACATTCAACTCCTGTCCGAAGGCTGCATGTGCCGCAGCAAGTAGAACAATAGTGGCGCGCGCGGTGATCATGCTGAGCTAACCGGGGAAAGACGCGGCAGATACAAAGAGCCTCGCAGTCTTCGGGCACGAAAACCATCGAGCTTTGGGTGGTAACCCATATATAAGCAACACAGCCTATGCATCTGTTCAACGAGATTCAGTACGTATCCAACATCGGATCGTCGTAGGGCGCTCAATCTGGACTTCGATTGCATGCACAAATCATGAGAGCTGTTGTGAGCGGGAGGCTACTGCCATGAGGACGATCCAGTTGGTAGCACTGCTCCAGTACTCGATGTTGCCTAGTCCGTGCAAAATGATATGGATGCACCCGTTGCCGCATTGTATGCGCCTTCGGGCATTCATGGCGTTGATGTAGCGAACTGATAATGAAGATCATCATAGGACCCGAAGGGCTTCACAGCATGCCGACAAAGATGCGGTTAGGGGAGCAGAAGAAATGACCTTCCGCTGAGGAGACATGCGGGCCTTTCTTGACGACGGTGTGTCTTCGAAGCTGTAGGTCTTCTTTCGGCTCTCTATAGGCCGAGAAATGACAGTGGGACGGGGAGTGAATAAATCACGACAACGTCAGATGGGACCCATCATAGGGGCTGTCGCATGAGCACTTCATGACATTATACTCAACACGAGGGCGATACATAGGAGATAGGACCTGATAGGACCCATTGAGGAACGTACTACTGCCATAGTGCTCGAAGCTACCAGTGGCGATTCACTTGTGCGATACGCATGACCATATTCGAGTCTGAAGTTCGTTGAACAGCAGGGTCAATTCAAGAAGCAACCGGCTAGAAAAATTACTTCAGCCACACGGGCCACGACTTGTAGAGCCTGAGTATACGCACCTGATGAGTCCCTGACCGATATACGTGTCTTTGACGTATGTCTATTCCATGGTGTCTTCACTCCCATACTCCTGCCTGCCAAGTTACATGACTCCACCAGTCGCACAACGTGAACGCGATGCCTAGCGGCACAGAGCCGACGACGACGAGTGTTAATCGCTGAAGGTGGGGCCAACGGGTAGTTTGCATCCGGCATATTTCCACATCACTAGGAGTGTGATGACTTTGTGGGCATTGTCTTTGTCCTGAAAACGCGCGGAGAGATACTAGAGGGCAAGTGATGTGCGATGATCGTGGTCAAGTCTCAAGTCGAAGCATGCGCTGACAGTGAGCGCGCGGTTCAGGCCCAGGGCTCGCGCGCCATTCGTTATCCGCGACGTCCACGATGAGAAAGAAACGTGCTCGCGACTCCTACCTCAGGGCCTGCCTATTGGGCGGCTTCTTCGTGGCTCACGCTTGCTCGTGTATCTCCAGCTCGAGAACGAGTCCATATGCATGAGATGGCCCCGTCGTACTGGCTGTTGCCCAAATCGGGCGATGGCCGTGCGGTGGTTCACATAGCTTGCGACCTTCAGGCTCCGTGACAGGGATACACATTTAGAGGCGTACGTGGTAGCTAGATGATGATGGCAGTATAGTATAGTGTGCGTCTTCAGAGACTTGGTGATGTGAACGCCTCGTGCTGTCCGCTGATGATACTTATGAACAAAGGGTCGCCTACACTGAAAGATCTGGCAGAGCGCTTCCTCCGCGCATCTCGCTCTGCAGCTCGTCCCTCTTACGGAAGAACTCTTTCACTTGTCCCTCGAACACTGCCGCATGCTCAAGCGCGGGGCCTAAAGTCTTGCACACATTGGCTTGGCTTGCGCGCAGATTCTGAAGCGCGCTGCGCGCGGTGTTGCGCTCCTCGCGTAGCCTATCGGACATACTGCGAAAGGTGTTGCGCTCGGTGCGCACTCGATTGAGCGTGTTGTTGGCGTCGTCGCGCTCCTGGGTCACAGTTCTGATGGCCTTCTTCAAGTCGTCGCGTTCCTTCAATACGGCTGCGTGTTCGACCTTGTGCGTCCGCTGCGACTGAGCGTTACCTTCGTGTTGTGCCGCAATCTGACCAAGAGCATTTGTGTGAGCGGCACGCAGGCGTTCATTGTCACTGGACGTCTTGTCGTGCGCTTGACGGAGCTCCTGGTATGCGCGATCCTTCTCGTTAATGACCTGCTTGGATTGGCGCTCGTTAGACGCAAACTCCTCCAGATGCTGGCGGATGGCAGACACAAGTGTTTCTATTCCGGAGCGCATCAATCAGCGCCAGCCTCAATTTAAGTAGCGAAGATGCTTACCTGGGTTGGAATCCTCGGGTACTGGTAAAGAGTAGAGCTTCGTGAGGTCTTTCAAGAGCGCTGCTGTCGTATCTGGCGCGTCTATCGCACATGGAGCGTACATCACTAACCAAGTTACAATACCATATAAAGTGAAGCATACCATTAGCGCGGTCCAAATGCGCCGCATCTATGGGCGGGGTGGTCCCGGAGTGGCCGAGTACGCGAAGGCGAACCGTCGGAAAGACTGGGTCCGCGGCGTCTGCTGAAGCATTAACAAACACCCCCGCTTGAAACTCTAGGAATCTCACATCGCTCACTAGGTGGAGGAATAATCTCTATAGACGTTGATGGACTGAGCATGGTGCAATCCTGAGTGGTGGTGACGGTCGAGCTATCAGTCCAGTTGCTCCACAAGCTGATACGACGTGGATAATGGCGGCGGCGCTACTTACAACTATCCGGGGACGACAACCAGAAGCCAAAGAGAGAGAAAGGTCTTCAAGTAGTGATAGGCGCGCGCGCTGATGGTGGAGGTTTGAGAGCAAAGGGTGAGCGACGTTTGAATTCTGTTGAGTTTGCTGTTTCGCCGATGCCGTCGGCACTTGCCGGACGGACGACTGCCCTTATGCTGCGCGTATGAAGGGCCGAGAGAGCTAGCATACCTACCGTTTTAAAGTGCTAGTTTGCGTCGGTAAGCGTAGGTATGCGTCGTACTCTGTACTAGCAACGCTTGATTCTCCGGTAAGGGAATTTGGAAGGAAGTCATGTGACCGCGAATATGTGCCACTCAAGTTGCCTCAGGTGCGTCGTCCACGCTACCTCGCGCTGCAGGCTTTCCGAACCGCGAACATTCACGTGGGCGATGCTTCAACCTATGCTATCAAATACGTCGCCATCTCACCTTACAGAGCTGGTACTAGACTGTACCGTCGGACCCCGCCGCGGAAGCTCAACGCTGACTCGGTCTGCTACGACATGCAATGCGGCGTGCGTACTCAAGATTCGACCGCTAGAAGATTGAGGACATGTAAAGAAGGAGATGATATAATAGTTTGACGGGCTCTCTACGTATGATCCCGGACGAGAGATATATAGATAGTAGCGATGCGGTTCAGAAACGGAGAAGACCGACGTATGTACAAACATCGCCGTGTAGTTCGGCGAGGTGGTGCGCGCTAACTCACAGCGTGTTCGCGGATGAACGGACCTGTTCAAAGAAAGCCCGCGCTCCATCCAGTCCCATGCCAACATAGCTCGAGAAGGCACCCGATATGCTGGCGATGATGTCGATCGCCCGGCTCAGTTGGGATTGGGTTTCCTCGAGCTCTCGGCGCTCCTTGCCGAGCTCTTTGCGTAGCGTGTGGAGCTGGCCATTGGCGGCGTGTAGCTGGCCATACGTGGCATGGACCTGGCCCTGCGCGACAAGAATTTCGCCTTGTGCGGCGTGAAGCTGCCCCTGAACGGCGTGAAGACGATCACTCAGAAGTTGCACCATAACCCCTGCATCATGTAAGCTAACGCTTTACAGGTTGTAGAAAGGTATCTCACAGGCGTTACGCTGTTCCGGCAAACCGACATCATGTTCGATAAGGATAGACTCGGTGAACGTAGTCATGCGCTGTAGACGTTCAACAACGCCAACGACAAGCGGTGAGCTCAAGGCGGGGTCTGCCAGCGCCCGCTCAATAGCATCCATGGAAAGCAACGGTGGGTGGGTCGCAGACTCTGTGTGCGCAGTTGGCGTCGGAAGTGGCGGTACAGATGCGCTTGTGGGGTCGTCCAACGTAGGCGTCTCCGGAGATGCTTTGACTGGGCGCTTGGAAGACTCCGACGGTTTCGCAGGCAGGGATGAGGGCAGATGAGAGATAGAGGCATTCTCCCCAGTCGCAGTTGCACCGCGAGCTGTCGAAGATGACGCGATGGGTGGTGGCTGTATTGCGCGCAAAGCGCGATCTTCGCGAGAGGTAGATGGGCCTGACTGGTTCAAAGCTGCAAGCGCCGTTAGATGCATTCTATCAAGAGTCACGGTACAAGCGTACACAGCGTGCGAGAGGTGGGAACCTCCTTGATTGCCAGACTAGGAGGGATCGTCACATTAGACATGCAGAGTCGCCGATAACCTTCCTGTTAGGACGATCAGCCATCTCACTTCGACGCACTTCTCCGTGCTACTCACGGAAACGGCCATCGGGCTCTTATCTGTCCGATAACAGAAATGACGGGAGGGACTCTGGATCGGACCATCGCAGATGTAGCTGAGAAATACAGAGGGTGAGCAGAACTGACATGGTCTCAGTGAATGTATACGCACGCTGCTGTGGCCGATCTGAAGTAGCACATGGCGTTGAGCTCCAATCATCGACGTTACGGAGATCAGACTTACACATGAAATTGTCGCATCCGTGATGAGTTCAAATGCTTTGTGAGCCCGTAGACAACCTCCATCGTGATTACGTGCTGAAGACGGGCGTCGGTAATATGAAGAGATGGAGGGAGAAGTGGGCGACTTACAGAAAACAGTCCGGGTCGGCTGAGTGTATAGTAGTGGACTTGGCCCGGCCGTTTACCGGTCGGTTGGATCCACTCAGCGTCGTCGCTCTTTGGTGCGCCCAGTGCGACTGCAAGGTCTTCGTCCCGCTTCATGCGCTGCGTGAAACCGCCTGAACGTGTTCGATAAGTTGCCGTCATCATCGTGCAAAGTTCTTGAACATACTGCTTAGGTCCGACATGATGTATATAGCCACACGATTGGCGTCTAGCCCTGACCCCTTCTTGGATGTCATCGTCTGCTCGCGCCGGCGCTGTGCTTGAGACATGAAGACGAGGACGGAACGGCGTGAAAGGTATAGGATGTGAACGTATCGGGAACGGGAGTAGTAAGAGGTGTGGGGATGGGTCGAAGCAATCGTTAAGCCTAGCGTGGAGGCTTATTAAACTGGAGCGCGCAAGCAATCCAACAAGGTTCGAGTTCATGCATCGGGCCGCGGGCGAGCGTAGATCAGCGTCCGCTGCCATCTGTCCCACGTCAACTCCGGATTTAGGAGCGCAACGTCTATTCACTGCTGATTCCCTGAATGAGGATGAGCACTCGCCTCCAGATGGCTGCAGTACAGCGGTGATACGGATCGCATCTCGACGACGACGACGAAGACTAGGCACATCGAGCAAAAGCCTAGGGCGGTACAGCGCCACTCGAACCATCTCGGTTTGACACATGTCACACGATATATTGTCAGGGATGACAGGCCGGCACCGCGACGCGGATGAGGGTATGCGCCTACGGAGCGGCGCAAGAGTGCATGAATGTTCCCGAGAAGCCCGTGAGGTATGCGAGTTAGAAGTTCATGCACTTCACGTCTTTCAACGAACGACAACTGTGAATAAGCGCCGTGAGTATACATTGAACAGCAAGGTAACAAAGACCGCCAGCGCGGGAATAACATACTAGTTCGATGGGCGGGGATCGTATCAGCTTAAGGAGCGTGCGGGCAGAATGAACGGTGGATCCATTGGCAGTAACTTGAAACGATGACAGATAGCCATGACGAAACAGGATGGCACGCAATACGATTGCTTGAACTCTCCATCAGCACGCAAGTCCTCTTCCAAGCCGGTTCGCGAAGCCGACTTCGACGAGTCCCCGCATGCCTACTAAGAGCCCGCACAGCCGCAAGCGGATGTGTAATGTACAGCATCAGACCACACACTTTGACCGTCCACACCTCCAACCATTCCTAGAGCCTTGCTCGAAGCAGGTTCGCGACGCCGACTTCGAGTAGGTCTGAAGTCCTGGAAGGGGGTACAGATGATCGCCGCGCTACATCACAATCGGAAAACAGTCATGGAACAAGACTAGAGAATATGAAGGCAAAAGCCAAGACGGATCGAGAAGACGGGTCCGGATTAGGAGGGATACGAAGAAGTAGAGCGGAGTAGAGTGACGGGTAATCTGAATGCGGGTGAGCATCGAGGCAAAGCTAGGAGCGATTGCAAGATCGCACCTTGAGATGAACATGTAGAACGATAGGTCCTGGCGTCTTGAAGCGTTGATGACCAAGGTGACCACTGGAGAGGTAAACCAAGATGTTGACTTTGAAGGCGTGAACAGGAAAAGCATGCAGCTGTTGGGTGTGAGCATGGCAGCGGCAAGAAAGTAAAAACGGGAGCGTACCTTGAGGGAAAACCAGAGAGCAAACTGGGCCGGAGTCTTGTTACCTTGAGGACCACGGTGACCAAATTTGCGGGCACCGGGCGAGCTCAACCCACGCGTGTCGGTGACAGCAACGCAGACGGAGGGGTCACAGCGGACGGGATCCAGAGGGCGTGGATGTCGTTTTGAAGACCGCGGCGGCCAAATTTGCGGCGGTCGGGCGAGCTCAACCTGTGCGTGTCGACAGCGTCAGACAGCGACACAGGCGGAGGGACCACAGCGGGTAACGGGATCAGCTCGGGATCAGCGGGAGATGAATAGGGCGGCCTATGCACCCTTCTGCAAAGTCAGTGCCGTTATGAGGCAACGGCGAGCCCGGCACCACTGGGGCAGCCAACGACTAAAGTCGGGGCGGTGATGCTCTGGTGTCACAGGCAGTAACCAGGCATGCGGGCAAGACACACCGCACAAGGCGGCGCCGCCTGAGCGAGTTCGCAGTCCATAAGCCGGGCGGATCGATAACCTCCGTTTGGCACATACTTCCAGGGCAGGCCGGACTGTGTCTGTTGTCGCTAGCGCGCACAACAAGACGGCGTGGGACCTCCGTGGTGAACCCCGAAGGGTCCACTAGAAGTACAGTCCAGGGCAGGGTAACACCCGGGTGGGCTTCTCGGACGCACAGTCTGAACGACCATACATATGACTCCCCCGGCCGGTTCAGATAGGGGAGCCTGCGAACTACTACTCTCCGCCAGACAATGCGCGTAAACCCAGACGCCGCGCATGCCATTTGGGGTGCCGATTGGGTCAAGAAAGGCGTTCCCCGCACCACTAGGGCGCTACCTCGCCTGGTCGCGAGGAGGGTGGTCGGACAGACGCGCGAAAGCCCTCGTCTTATGTCCGCAGGCAGAGCGCTCGCAGGCAGCGTCCACTGTGACGGCCACACAAGCCGCACTGATCGGGATTATATGCGCGTCCGAAGACTTGCACCCACGATAGCACGGCTGGACTTCCCCGCAACCTAGCCAGAGGCCTCGGTGCGTGTGAGCGTCAACCCCCTACATGAAAACTATTACGGCAGCCTCCCATGGACGACGTGCGGCTGTAAAGTAGTGTCAGTGAGATGTTTGGGCAGATGAACTAGAAATTGACTCACCATAAAGCCTAATACACACGCGGACGAGCTGAAAAGAGAACTCTGTAAGCCGGTGTGCGATGTGCATGGAAGAGACGAGTACTCACGACTCGAAGAGAACCGTGAGGATATTCTGACCATTGTCTTCCGGCTTTATACGGGCGCTTAGCACTCGTCACATGATACCCAACAGGCGATAAACGGTCTCAGCTGGTCTCATAAGCTTGTGTTTGAGCAATGGATATCATCCAGGGTCCAGACCATACATGAGAGATCAAACGCGTTACAGATTGTCTCATTCAACCATCGGCGTAGCCAGTCAAGCCGACAGTCATCAAAAAGTATCAGTGCGGTATCAAGCTCGAGAAACCAAGAAAGTGAAGGACAATAAGGTATATATGCCAGACGCAGGTTTGGTCTCCGTCGTGAAGGTGGAAGACAAGCCGAAGAGTCGTTCATCGATTCGCGCTTGACGCGATCATTTCGCTCCCACGCCCTGCGCGACACGGTCTGTGTAAAAGCACTGATGCAACTGCTATCTCTGCGGCTTCCTTTCGAGATCGTGGCTCCGCTCTGACATGCATATTGCGCTTGGGTTCACGTAAAGTATTTAGAGGTATCCGGAGAGGCTATCACGGCAGGTCTAAACTACTTACGGGAAGGCGTTGGTCGCGATCACATGAGCTCGTCTCCGCCGCGTTGACGCGTCAGCGATGACCGTCCCGCGCCGGGGTTGCATCGCCGGGTCCGTCCGCACCCGCAAGGGTAAGAGAGTTTCGCATGAGTTTCGCATGCAGTAGTAGCTGCCAGTATTGAGATTGGATAGATGAAAGGGAGAAGACTATTATTTGTGACAAATACCGATGGGAGACGGATAGCAGAGTATATATTTGCGGGTCGAAGTGGTGGTGTAGTGTGCAATGTATAGTACAAGATGCGCGTATAGTGCCAAGTTGTCCGTGTTCAACAAGAGTGTATCTATGAGAAATGCGACAAGGAGAGTTCAGTGCTGTTATTGCGGTCCGCAAGGTGACGATGACGCGTGCGAGCGCGGATGCGCGGATGTTGAGGCGTACGTCGAATCCAGCGACGGTGTTCGCGTCGTCGACGACGAGAGATGCTCACCAGGCAGAGAAGCAGAGGTCATAATCTACTCCTGAATACAAGAACGCCCTCGTATACGCCCCAACCGATCGCAGAGCTGAGGACCTTGCGTGTAAGGCGCAGGCCAGCACCGTCGAAGAACCCTGGTACACCGCGCGTCTGCGGGCATAGTTAGTACTTAGACGCCGAAGATGGAGGGTATGAAGTGCAGACCTGGAAGACGGCTCGTACTGTGGGTACAAAGCCTCTGAACTGCGCCTCGCTTCTCACTTGAATCTTGGTCTGTCCATAGACGTCAGTATCTCGCATTGAGACATACAGTATTGGCAGGTACTCACCTTGATGACATCGAAAGGGTGTGTTGCAAGTGTTGCTACGGTCCCCGCCGCAGCAGCACTGGCCGTGTGTACTGCCCATCCCGGAAGCACCCCTGCGTTTCCACCCTTCCCAGCCCATCTCTTCGCACCCTCGTAGCTCAGCACAAAGAGTCCCGCGTACGGTGCATCCCTCAGACTGCTCGCCCAGAAGCCACGCGTAAGTTCCCTAGGTCCAGCTCTCGCCAAGGCCGCCAGAGCCGCAGGGAGACTCGGCAACTGGTGTAGTGAGGACTCGTAACGCGCTTTCAGAACCGACACGGGGTTCAAGATGAATCCGACGGCTACTCGTGTCGATGCACCGGCAAGAAGGTTCCCGGTCGGACTTAAGGTAGGAAGTGTTGAAGTGACCGATCTCTCCGCCGCGAATACCTGGATTGCAGCCAGACGAGCCCTCAGAGCACTGAGACTTGTCATATATAGCGCGATACCAGGTATATTTCTGGTCAATGTCGCAGAAGTACCCCGCCATAGCCCTCTTGGTCCATCTGTCTGTAACACTGAACGGGCAGCACCAAGGATTGTTGGGCGCTGGTGGATCAAACTTTGTTGTTGACGAGTTTTAAGGAGATCAAGCGGTTGAAGAAGGGTCGAGGAGGTAAAGCCTGATAAAGCGCCGGATGCGAGGTGCTCGGCTATCGAAGGCGCCATGACGGTATGTGGCGAAGAACGAACTGCAACATGCAAAGGCGCGTGCGTGAGGTCACCGTGATGACGCGGCGCTTGTCGCGTCTTGTCTTCGGACGACCAGGTGCGGCTGGAACGTCAACTACCCACCTTTACTTTACACATACAGCGCACGTCGCGCATGCTCTATACCTTCTTTGTATAGATATTTTCCCCTGTCATTGAAGAACCCCTCAAGACGTCATTCCAGGAAGACAACCAACGAATGCCCGGAGGCTTGACCAACGGGCGCGATCTCTTCACGTCTGTCATTAGTCGGAAAGACGTTCATATCGTGCGCCACTGGCTCGTCATCTATGACAATTGAACCGCGAGACAGTGTGAGACTCGTGAAGCAAGCGCCCCGTCGAGTACGTACTCTATCATGCATTGCACCCACCGCGCTCACAGGCGTTCACCTCTATATATTGTTAAAACTCTGCTTCGGGGCTTGTAACTGCACTGAACCCCTGAGGCTTGCTCGTTTGTCTAATTTCATTGTCAACCTACCTAGGATACAGCCACTTATGGCTAGGTCGCCCAAGATGCCCGCCTGTCCTGCGTAGCAACCACGCGGCCGGAGTGAGCGGCCGTGGCTCGGCGGCGATGCGCGCCGAGCGCGCGCACCGTCTTCTCACCACTATCTTCGACAGCTACTCCATATTCAAGCTTCTAGCCGCGTACTTGCAACACACGTTTGGCTTTATCACCGGGTAATCCTAAGCAGTGCGGACCCAATTCAGACGCGCCGGACTGCTGCTCTCACGATATCTCACGGTCCCGGTACGCTTCTCGCTGTGTACCTTCGGCGCTTCGAGACGAGAACGCGTACTCCTTTCGACTTGCAAAGATGCCGGTCTTACGCTACCTATTCTCGCATTCTAGCATTTCAGTGGGAGAGCTCGCCGCACCATACGTCTCTTCGAATAGAGTTCACGATACACTGCGATAACTGACGAAAAATACACGTCGGACATGGAGCTCCGAAGCTACGGTCCACAGAACTACACATTGTATACCTATACATCGAGTTCCATCAAGAGCTCGGGCTTGGAAGAAGCCGTGTCTACAGCGAGTGATGAAGATGAGTACTTCCAGGGCTAGTACGCATTGTGTGCTGAACTCACCATGAAGCAGCGTTTGCCTAGTTACACGATTTGGACATCTCGCACTCTTCGCGATGCTTAGAGCAAGCCTACGAGCTCGGCAGTAGGCGGAACTGGGTTTGTAGGCGAGAAGGCGCCAGGAAGAGGGACAGCACGTTTCTCATCTATGCACACATGAGACGTCGTACATCGAGTCGCGTTCTGTACGACGAGACCGACCTGTGGGAGCAGCGGAACCGACAGCGGCAAGGAGTGCCATTGAGATAAGGATGGTGAAGCTGCGCATATTGACAACGAGTATGTTGAGTGCGGTGCAGCTGAATAGAGTGGGAGGCGCCGGTGTCGATGTTGATATCCGCTGTGACAGGCTTTATAGTGCGGGTGATACAAGCTGTCCTTTAACTCTATCACGCGGGTGCGCGCCCGCGCCCGCCGCAATCGTATGGATTCTTCTGCGCGCTCCAAAACTCACCTCATAGCTACATGGCGCGAGGCTTCCCTTCTATCAGGAGAATGGTGAGGGAGAGAGAAGCAGCATCTCCTGACGGTCTACGGCTTCTGATTCCGAGCGTTTCACGATATCTCCTCCGTTGCAAGGTGCTAATAATACGGGATCTCGGTACCGTACTCTCCGTTACGTCTAGTGACATACGCAGAACTTTCCTCTTCGTCATACACATGCCGATGAGAGCGACTATCGACCTCGTGCCGCACGACTCCGGCGAAGCTATCATAAACGACGATCGCCGAGCTCCGCCTTCCCCCTCGCCCAAAGAACGATGCGCACGACGGTCACTCCCCCAGACATGCTGCTCTACACAGTGGCTGGTCTCTTGCTTCTCATGATCTACCAAGGACTCGAGCTTACTTGGAAGATGCAACTCATCCACTCGCTCCATCGCATCCAGCATCCCGAATCAGTTGCATACAGTGCGTTGCGAGCTTCGAGTTGTGAACGTCATGCTCACGAGTGGGCATAGGCTATGTGGGACGCGATCATCCTGCTGAACTTCCGCTCTACGTTCCGGAGGCGGCTATGAACGCTGAATGGCCCGATGACGAGCTGTACGGGCTATTCGAGGATGAGGAGTGGGAGTCTCTCTTTCCGCGCGGCAACGGATGGGTGACACTGGGGCCCAACGACGAGATGTTTGTTCTCAGCATGTATCATCAATTGCATTGTCTTTCCGTGAGTCCGCGCACACCAGATCTTGCTACGAAGTCGGAATGCTGAGATGCGCCAGGTTTTGCGCCACGCCTTCGTCGCGGCAAACACAAGCACCCTCGTGTTTGGTCCGCGGGGGAACGGGACGGGTGTTGCACACCATACAAACCACTGTCTGCAGTATGTCCCCAAGTCTTCGTACTCGACGACATTCTGACGCTCCTCAAGATATCTTCGCGAGCAGATCGTCTGCAAGGCAGATACTACACTTGAGGAGTCGGCTCTTTTCGTGGCCGACGACGGCAAAACGAAACATGGCGCCACAGGGATGGGTAAGCCTGCGAATCCGCCATCGGTCATACTCTGCTACGGCTTTGCTGATAGGCACTTTCGCTAGATATGGTCCACCGTTGTCGCGACTGGACGAAGATCAGGGATCATCTTGAGGCAAACTTTGAGACGCGGCTTGAGAAGGGGCTTGTTGACATCTACGGAGAAGAGATCCTACAAGAGTAGAGCATCGTGTATAGTACTGTAATCCGTATGACCTTCACATCTCCATCCCCGCAAAGAGTGCCCCAGCGCCTCTCTTCCTTTCTTCCGTTGGGTAGACCAAGTTACCATCTTCGTCGCGCAGGACGACAGCTGGAACATGCCGTCAGTATAGTCGAACGTACCAGGAAGCAGCTCGAATGTGCGCTCACTCTTGTAACGAGAGGTCTCAGGGATGCCGATGTACTGGTCTGGGCGAGCAAGTTTCCGGGGATCATGCACTGGTAAGATTTGGGCGAGTGAGGCGCGCATGCTGGCGCTAGCGCCTGCGTTGGCGACTAGGAGACCGGCGTTGATCAAGAGGAGGATGCAGAGCAAGACACGGAGGGCTTTGGGGCGGTGTACGCCGTTGCATGGGGACTCGTCGCCTAGTGGTTTGGGCTTGAGTGTGGGCTCATCGCTCTGGGCAAGTTCCTTGTAGCCCTGCATGACCGTCGGGCGATGTTGAAAGGCGATGTGAGTGGCGACGAGGGTGCGCTGGAAATGCAGGTACGGCGACGGGGTAAAGACGTTCGTTTCAACAAGCACGGAGCCGACTGCTAAACGGGATGGTGATTCCGCCGGGACATGCCCTGTTCTCGCGCCTCAATCTGAGTGTGTACCACGCTTCTCACAGATAGAGATTAGAATGATGAGAGAATGGGGCACGAGACTGAACGTTATGTCAAGGATAATGTGGCCGCACCGTTGCGAAGCCGAATCGCTGCTACCGCCATTGGAGCTAGAAGCCTTATGGGCTTACACGCTGCAACGTACGCGAATCCTGGTTCTGATGAGAGGTGCTACGGAGCGGGTATGGCATATCTTTGTACCTCTAGTGAGCTTACGGCGACTTACGCAGGCGCCGACAGGATATGGAATTCAATTGTGACGAGACCATCGATGCGTGGGCTGAAGTCGAGTCCTGAGGGCTGAGGTCCGGTATCACCATCCATTGGCGTCAAACGAGCCTCGCGCGGTTTACAAGACTTAGGGTATGGATGCTGGATGTCAATTGTGACGCCGCGACGACGGTGCGACGTCGACGTCAATGTTCAACGTCAACGCGGCAACTTTGAGCGCAATCTAAGCCCGGAGCGCTCATTTCCCACGGGCGCGCACCGGTATCGTCGGCAGCGCGTCGCACCCGATGCACCCTGATCCCAACTTTCATGCAAACGTGCGTGTAAGTATCTTGTGCGAAGGGCGTACCTGCCCGCGTAAGGTGCGTGTCTGCTGGCAACTTCTTGGAGTGGCGTTCTACTGATGAGCATACCGCCAGCAGTATCGAATCGACCTATAGTACTATGAGACTACGCTCTGTTCCCCAATGCAAATGATAACTATTTGGAATTGCTATCCCATGATGGCTTCCCAGACGCCGCCGGTTGCCAGTCGAAACGAAACGCGAAAGCAAAGTACAGCGCCTATTCGTCAGATGCACCCCATCGACGACCGCCCTGCCCCTTCGGCTTCGCAGAAGAGCTTCGGTGGGAATGCAGCCTTAAAGTTGACGATCAGGCGCTGTTAGCACTGCCGCTCTTTGCTTGCCATATGACGAAATGTCCAGGGCTCAAGCGGCCAGAGTCGACTGATTGCGTACTTCCCCGGCCTGTCTTTACTGATGGAACATCCACGGCGGGGTTGACGGACAGAAGCGCCTCTCGATAGCTCCGCGGTCCGGGTAGCATGGAGTCGAGGGGTAACTCCGAGAGCCGTCGACTCATCTCGTGCTACGTGTTGTGCGCGCTGCCTCCTACCCGTATCATCGAGGCGGATTTCACTGGTGAATACGATCCTAGCCAACGCTCGCGGGTCATCTGTGAGCGAATTCGTCATTGACCCGATCGAAATCTCACAACCGCATTTTTATAGTGATAAGTGAAGCTCCGGAGGACACCATGTCAGATACACCACCAGCCAACGATCCCACTTCAGGTTACTTCCTTGATACAAACCCGACAGAAGTCAGACGGTTCGCCGCTGTCTGCCAGCTCGTCGCCAATTTAATTGACACAGACCCCTTTAGACTAGATGAGCAGTATCTCTTCGTCAAGGCCGTCTTCGACAAACCCTCTTTCTTCCCTTCCCCAGTCGACCCTACAACGGTGCGCCGCGTGCTGGATGTTGCGGCTGGAACTGCGGTTTGGGCCCTGGACCTCGCCGACCAGCCATTCGCGTCTTCGCTTGAGCTATTTGCGTCCGACATAACGCTTGCCAAATTCCCTTCCCCGGATATCCTGCGACGCGCAGGTATAACTGCTTTCGCGCAGGACTTGACGAAGCCGTTTCCGGATGAGATGAAGGGAACCTTTGATGTGGTCCACGCGGCTGCACTCGTATTCGCACTGAATCCAGACGAGTGGGCCAGTATGCTTCGCAATGTTTACGATGTTTTAGGTGTGTTCCGACATGTCTGCACTGTCAGAATAGTGACGATCGTACAGCCCCTGGAGGGTATCTGATTCTGACCGAATCGGACGGCCTACTCTACAGTGCGGGCGAAAGTCCTCCACCGGATGGCGTAGCGCACGACGTCGAGAAGGGGATGAACGGATCCAGCACGATACATGCCATGAACAACATCTTGGTCGGACTTGCGCTCCAACGAGGGTATATCATCGGGTGTGTATCTATCGTATTGTCATCTCCCCGCACTGACGGATCTCGATGTAATAGTCTCTCATATCGCTTGAAAGACTTCTTATCCAATGCAGGCTACTCCATTCTTTCTCGGCAACGCGCCATATGTCCTTTGGGTGGGTGCACTGAAACGGTTCAGAGTGTACGCGGGAACTCCTTACTGCGCTTTCGCCAATCCTCGGCGAACAACCTGAACTCCCAACTCGACGGCGTCACTCGCTGGCTGCTTGAGAAAGGAGAGCTAGAAGCGCCCAAGGGCATTCCCATCCGCTCCGAGGAAGAGAGGCTGTCATTCGTGGAGGACGTTCGGCGAGCCATGGATAAAGGTGCATCTCTGGTTGGCTCGGAATGGGTAGCGCAGAAGCCAGTCGTATGAGAAGATCACTATTTGCGATGAGTCTAAGCATGCCTGTACACATTAAGAGACAGACAGCGCGATTACACTTGCATTGTAGAATATATGAAAGAGCCAAACACTGCGGCGCTCCCAACGCTCCCAAACCGCTCCAGGTTTATACACGAGAGCCAGAGTCGGAGGGATAGTTTAGTGCTTATCTATCGATAGCTGTACGGATGAGCAATGAAGCATTCGATGGCAATGGGGGGTTCGAGGGTAGCTGTAAGTGCGCCGTACCAGGGACGCTCAGAGGAGAAGCTAGCTTGTGCGATATCGTCCCGGACCGGATCACCGGCGGTCACACCAGATCAACACCCTTCAACACCGTCACCGTCACCGACTCCCAGCCATTGAGATTATAGTTCTTCCCGTCATCAACCATGCAGCCTCGCTTCTCGACTCTCGAGTCCGCCTTCTATCGCTCGATACATCAAACCATCAAGGAGCGCTATCGCTCAGTCTATCATACCGTACACTCGCGCCGTATGCGGCGACACTCGGAGGATCTTGGAGCATGAGTAGTCTGTACCCTAGTTTTTGTATCGCCTCAGGTTTTCCCCATCTGGAGAATCCCATAGCATCCCATTAGGGTGCGGTGCATAATGCATCGCCTATTCTGAACACGGTTAATTAACATTCGGGTTAGGGTTAGTATATTAACGGGTCTATATTAACTAGTTTATAATCCGGACATTTCATCGGCTCCAGAAGACAAGCAATCGGACCGTGACAGGATGTGCGGTCGCTGTATCGTGATTGGAAGTACGTATAGTAGACACATTATGACTAGATCGACCAGACGACCTTCGGCGGTGGTCCGGATGGCGCCGTGGCCACTGCTCCTCGCGCGCGCGTCGCAGTGGGTGGGGCGGACACCGCAAGTGGCTGCGAGGACAAGTAATCTAAGATAGCGGGAACTTTGAGATTACCGCCCTTGACCCAGCTCGCCGCAGTGAGAGTCTCTCCGTCCTCGAGAAGAAGCCGCTCATCGGTGAGCACGTCAGACTCGTCGCCGCTCTGTGCAGAAGTTTCAGGGGTGTCGCCATCTTCACGGTCTGCCCACTCATCCTCTGCGTCGTCGTCCGAGTCGCTGTCCGTATCGCTCTGCGAGCTAGCAGTCTCTATGCCGTTGGCGGAGCGTGCACGTCTCAGAACACTATCTAACTGATGGAACTTGACCGTCGGGAGCTTGACGGCCGGCTTATCCTATCGGTTCATTGCTCAACATGTGCATCTTCGCGATAGATAGGTAGCCATACCTGCTCGCGCTGGCGCATGAACTCTTCGCGGAGCTGCACGAGAGCTACGATGGACTCGGCCTTTAGATTGTGGCGAAGAGCAGTCCCGAGACGCGTCATGACAGAACCCGCGCGTTCGTCTGCCATTGAATTAGGCGAGATCGCGAATAGCTTCATGGCGAAGTACTTCGAAGGTATTAGAGACACGTCTGCAGTCCATGGGCAACGAGACTCACCGCAAGGACACGAGAGTTATGTCCAGGGCGCAAGCTCCTCCAAAAATCGTATGGTGTTTCATCTTTCTTGAGACGTCGCACGAAAGGTTGCTCGTTTCGGAGGTATGCACGATATTGTGCCTGTAGTTCAGCGATGGCCTCGTAGTCCTCAAGGTCGTCAACCTTGATCTTCTTGGTCTCGTACTCGAGGCGCAGTTGATTCGCAAGGAACTGTCCGACTCGGCGTTGAAGGTCAGGCAGTTCATTCGAAGATGTGCGTGATGAGGCGGCACGCCGGCGAGTTGAGACCGTGACCGAATCATCGTCATTCGAGAGCGGATTGACAGCCGTAAGGTTGACGTCGGGCAAATTGTCTCGATAGCCTATTGAGACGTTAGCATGGTAGGTAGGATTGAGGAGTCGGAACAGTACCTGGATGCAACATGAATCCGACGACATAAACACTGACCGTGTCCTCTGGGCCATTGGTCCCGGGATCGACAATCATCTGGTTCCACCGATAGTTCAATATCTGGCGAATGCGTTCCTTCACAGTATCCGCAAGCTCTGCAGACGCAGGCGACACAAGGAACTCGTCGAACTTCGCCATAATCGCCAGAAAGAACAAGAATACGTCCGCCACGGTCGCATGCGTCGATTCAAGAGCGGTGATGGCCCAAGCAATCGGCATGAGAATGGCGAGTAGGACTGTCATGTCGGCCATGAAGGTCCCACTCGCGCGTAGGTTCGGGACGAAATACTGATTGACATCCTAAACGAAGAATGTCAGGGCGCAACTCGAAGTATACTCCGACATAACATACCGGAATGGTAACGACTCCACCTCCGACAAGCTCTTGGACAGCAGGCATGCAGCGCTTTACCGAGTCAACCGTATGCGCGATACCAGCAAAGCGAGTTTTGCTCGATTTAACAAAACCGCGCCTGATCTTGTGGCGCTTCTGCGTGCGCTTGAACGCCGTCTTGGCGAACGTTGACTTCGAGAAGAAGGCAACAACGCGCTTCGACGTTGAGATGGTCTACCAAGCAATCAGATGCCGGTACAAATGTGTACATGATGGTAGCGTCGACTGACCTTTCTAAACGCAGGAAGCTTCCCAATATCCTTGCTGGTGTTATGTAGGCGGTGGCAGCAGTCGGGCAAGCTGAGAATCCACGGAAACTCCTCTTGAACGCGCTTGCGCGCAACACGCGTGTTGCCCGTGTCGTCAGATGTAATTGCGGAGAAATTCTGGGGCCCGATTGACCTGATAAGCTACGAGCATCTCAGCCCGAGTCTTGAAGGAGCAGCACAAAACCAGCCACGTACCTCGACCAGCATCTCTGCAAGATGCTCGCCAGTATGTGACTCCGCCGAAGTTGAATGGCCCTTCATGAGATAAACCCTCCGGCTCGGTGTCATGACATGTACTGTGTAGATCGAGTCTTGACGGTTGGAAGTCGCACCGTCGAACGTGAGCGTCAGGTTCTTGATCTTCTGGAGCTTCTCGATATTCTTGAGCGTGACGTGAGCGGCCTCAGATGGTACGAGCGTCTCGCGAACTTGATTCGAGGATGGTGGCGTGAACTGCTGATGAGTAGCATCTCCGACGAATGTCTTCCACTCCTCGGTGTCGCAGAGAATGAATGGAAGGGACTGGACAGTAATGAGCTTGAGGATGTCGAGGGTGAGTGTAGAGTTGTATAGCTTCGCCTTCGCCGCCCGTGAGTGAGGTTCGATCGATGTTTGGGATGACCTGGAGATGTCGCCGCGTGTGTGCGATCAAGTGAGTACGTATTACATGGGAAAGCACCGTTTACTGACTTCTTTCCCGCCGCCATGTCCTGAACCACTTGCGCATCCTCTTTGACCTGCTGTGATATGGCTTTACCGCCGAGAGCCTTGGTTGCTCGTTCCCGGAGATGAGCAGGTACATAGGGACAGACGTGGGCATGCTTCAAGATACGATTGCGCTGTCGCCCCGACTTCCCACCGCCCCACGCATACGTATGATCGCATCCCGCTCCGTGCTCATCCGGCTTCATTCCGACGCAACGCAGGATCTTCTTGAGCGGTTTCTTCGGATCTTTAATCTTCGGCCGGCATGGTAGCGCCAACTCGAAGAGTAAGAGGTTGGGCTTACGCCCTTTGCGTTTCCCTGGTCGCAGTCAGCGCTGCACTATGATCACAGAGGGTATAGAAATATGGTGTATACTCACCTTGAACAGTCTTTGCAACCTCATTCTCGGACGCCGCTTCGTAGTCGTCCCAAACAGAGACATTCTGAAGTGGCTCCTTCTTCTTGCGAGCACGCGAACGGGACTGCTTCTGCTTCGTGGACGTCTTCTCGATCGTCTGCTGCGTAGACTTTCCTGTCCTGCGGCGCTTCGGCTGTGGCGCCTCCTCATCTTCTTCTGAAATATCTTCGTCGTCGTCGTCATCTCCCTCCTCTTCAACATCAGAATCCCCAACCAGCTCGCCTTCCTCCTCATTGTCATACTCAGAACCTGACTCCTCCTCCTCCTCTGGCTATCGAGAAGTGTTAGAGCCTGAACTGTGTCGGGGATGTCAGCAGCTCACCGGAGCATTTGCCATATACCATCTCGCGACGACGAGGAAATCCTCGACCCATTTTACCAGCACTTCTGTTTGCGGACGTTCATCGGATTCGGCACTGAGTGCGGTGCGAAATGCATCAACGATGGCATAAAGTCCTGAACCGCGCTCGGTGAGCTTGAAGGGGCATTCGCGATTGAGGCGCCCAGTCGGGGCAAATGTAGCTTCGAGCTCTTGATTCAGAACACAGATTGCGGAACCGTATGTCTCGCACTTCTCCTCATTGACCCGCCATGCGCAGAAGTTATATGCCGGCTGCTCTGGGTCTGCGAGAGGTAGGGGAAGCTTCGTGAGTAGCACGGCGAGTTCCTGGAGCTGATTGTCCAATTCGGGTGTGAGGGCCACCATTCTAGACGACCGCGGCGATGATGGGCACGAGGAAGACGTGGGAGGGTGAAGCCAGGTCGTGCGGCGTTCAGCAGGAACGGCACGATGGAATTCTCCAGAAATATTTGACGCGATCGGTGACGCTGCCCTCGACGACCTCCGTGAATGTTCTGGACCCGTCAGCGAGCCGCGTCACGTCCCTGAGCTGCCCCGCTAGGGTTAGGGTTTGCGCTTACGGTTATTAATGCATGTACTCCCCGAGGGCATTGTTAACAAGGTATATATACACGGTTAATTAATAGTTAATAATATCGGGTTAATATATGGTGGTTTCATCACCGCACCCTACATCCCATCCCCGACGAGCCTTCGAGAGTCGGTCTGCAGCTGGAGCGACGCATACCGCGGTCCAACTCCGAGCCGTACCGCTCGACAGGCTTGAAGCACACGGGAGTTGGAGTCCATTTCGTCCGGCACGCGGTACGAGGCGGTACGAGAACTGGAAAGATGCCTTGATGCTGGTAGACGCCCGTGCATGATGAAGCGCAGCGCTGGCTGGCCAGCTTTGAGCGGCCGGATTTGATGAAACAGCCACCCGACACACGAAGTCGGCTTCCTTTTCTCATACTTATAAACAGTCCGACCGACGCCGACAGTGCCTCATGTAGGATCTTCGGCGTCGTCGACCTTTCGTCACCTGCCTCTTGCCGTTGCCATTGGCCGCTATACAGCATGCCGCTTGTCACCAATCCCGCCTGGGCACCGGCGGAGCCGCATAGTGCCCTGCTGGTCGAACGTTCCCAGTTTATCGGATTACTATTAGCATGGGGCGCCTGGGGTGCGTAGTTTAACATTGATCCGCAAGATTGCGCTTGACGCCGCCTTATACAGGCATCCTTGTCGCTGTAACAATACACTGTGTGAGGGTCCTCTGGCGCAATGTGCGCCAGGGAAAGAGGCGGCACATCTACTTGCTCGTCTACGTCTTGCTAGTCATCTCCCTCGCAACGGCTGGTCTTTTCCTTGCAACGAAATGGACGCAGACTTGGTTAATTGATCAAAGAAACTACCCCGGAGGCCCTGTGGCGTACTATGAGAAGTTCAACGCCAATCCCATCACCACGGGCGAGCGCGTCTGGTGCGTCCTTATTGATGTTATGAAGTCCGATGTACTCAATGAGCAATGCAGTGACTTCATGGTCAATTGGCTGGCGGACGGACTCCTGGTAAGCGCCCTCGTCATCCCTACGATGATCCGTAGCTCACCGTTATCCTCAGACATATCGTGTCTATGTCATCTACGAGGGACGGCTGCTTTTCGTGGCCCTCCCCATTCTAACATTCCTGGCTTCGTTCTGTACGTCCGAATCACACAGTTCTCGTCCCCAGCTGACGTCGACCCCACAGCCCTGTCAATCATCGAGCTCTATCTCGTCTCACGCCCAGGCTCTTCCATCTTGCTAGCTAATAGCGTCAAGTTCGGCCTCGCATACTGGTCTCTATCAGTTGCCGTGAACGTCATCGTCACAATCCTTATTGTCCTGCGTCTGTTCGCTGCACGGCGTACCCTCGCAAAAGCCATGGGGACTGCTGGGCGTGACTCTGGTGAACTCTATACCAACGTATCCGCCATTCTTGTCGAGAGCGCGGCGATATACACGATACCTGCGATCATCTTCCTCGTCGGCTATGGAGTGGGAGACGTCTTGAATGCATCTGTAGATGCAGTCGAAGTCATACAGGTACTGTCGCAACACAATATCATAGGCTATCCTTATTGACCGAGTATATGCAGGGCATCGCACCGCTTCTCATCATTCTGCGCGTCGCCAATGGCAGTGCATATTCAGCCACCACCATCTCCGACCTGACCGACAGCTCGGGCGATCTGGATAAACGCACACATCGCATGGCTAGCCTGCGGTTTGCCTCGCACGTACAGTCATCGACAGGACACAGTGAACAGACCGAAGACTTGACATCGAAAGATGAACGACTTGCAGTCCCAGTCATCCTGATGGATAGCGACGACAAGGGCGCACGATCCTCAGTACAATCCATCTCGCCCTACCCTACTACGCATAGGGACTCCGATGTATGACCCATGCTATATGACGTATATTCATGCTTGTACCTCTATACTCCCCCCTCTGCTTTTTTTCTTCCAACACCTGTACTACTATTAGAACCTGATACATATGAGCTGCGACGAGGTCGAGGTGGCATGGTTGAAGACTACGAGGGTGTGCTTGAGCTGAAGCGGGGCTCAAGCTCGAGTGCGCACGCACTGGCCCTCTTTCGCCGTCAACCTAGGATGATGCCTGATCGCAATGTACGCGTAGTTCGTCCCGTACTCCCGCCAGATACACGCCCGGGCACTTGTGCTGTGGACCGTGGTCAGAATGTGCTCCCACGCCGGTATAACCCAAGACACGGTGATTCCAAGTTGTTCCTGACTTCCATGCTGGCTTTATGCTGGCACGACGATGCATTCCTTGCCAGGCTACCGCACTGAAAAATGGTCGGCATCTGAGCACCTCTCCATCTACGACTGGCCTGCGTATCGGACACAACAGAACAGTGTCCCCCGTGGAACGGCACGAGCGAATTGCCGCATACGTATCGGCCTGGCGCGGTCTTGAATGGCGCCGAACGCTTCGCATACCTTTCCCTCCGGCCGATGCGACACAAATTCACGCAACACGTCTGCCGAGTCCTCTGCGCGGCGTTGCGCGCCAAAACATCACCCGCCACTTGCCGAGTGAAGTCAGAGCGTGGGCACTGGACACAGCCCAGGATTTGTTACTATTCATCGAGCAAAACGAAGATGGACCGCCGTACCCAGTGCACTGTATCTCAACTAAGACAGGAAGAAGGCATCCCAGAGCGGCTCGCTTGCCTTCGCTGCATGAAGAAGAGGATCCTTGGCTTGCTTCGAATGAAGACGTTGTCCGGATTCACGGCCTCCTCGCTGGCGTCGTTCATGCCGGATGCCTAAGAGTATATGAGTGGCGCACAGGAAACTTGCTACTAGTTCGTGTATACGATTCATTCCTGTGGACTATGTCTGACAAATATTCCCTCTGTATAGGAGGTTCCTTGCCTAGACGACTTCACATTTCTCGATAGCTCCCATGTGCTGTTGACCCAGTACGATCCTGATACCCTATTGCCGTCAATAATTTTATACCCGCTATCGCATGATCAACCTGATCCCTACTCGCCTGCATACCGCTTCAATCTCCCGAGGCTGCGTTCCGCTTTGGATGGCGCTGAAGTCTTCGTACGGCTTGCTGCTGATAGCCCTCCACCGACCTCTCGCTTCGGGGCATTCTATGCAGACCCTTCGCCAAATCATCGCGCCTTATTCATACGGCTGGAAGTCTTCACGCTCTCAGATCCCAACAATAGCGACGACCATGCGAGCACTTTGTGTGTGCCATTGGGCTTCTTCATGCGCGTCATTGAGGGAACTTGGAACTCCCTGAATGTGCTGCAAAGGGACGAGCACGGCACCGCTGTGATTCAATGGCATATTTGGGGCCCACCGACATGCGGCTTGATCCCGCCCACTGCAGGCGCACCTTCTGAACCCGGCGTGTTCGGCTGTCGCGCCGCGAGAGTCATCCCCGGATCGAACCTCCGCATATCGATTCCTTTCGCACAAACGACCTCGCCGATCGACGTTACTGCCGTCGAAGACGAGCTGGCCAGATTCACCCCTGATCCGAGCGACGTATTCCTCGAGGTCTTCGATTTCCATCCGGGACGCGTGGCACTTGCGCGAGCAACGCTCGTGAGATCTCAATCTGCCCTCAACAATGCTCGAAGGGACGAGATTGCAGCTGGAGCTGACGTCCGCGCGGACGACGTACTGTCTGCGATGGACCTGGACGTTGGCACATGGTCAATACAGAAGTCGGGACATCTCGACACGCGTATATGGGACGTGTCGCCATTCAACTCACAGACGATTGAAACCGACATTGGAGCAGCGTCACAACTTCAACTGCCATACATCCTCACTCGTCGACGCGTCCCTACCCAGTATGTTCTTGGGGAGAATGGCGGCAAAGCGATTCTAACGGAGGATGCCGTATTGTACGTCCCCGTGCGCGACTTCGTGACGGGTGAACCGGAGGAATATGTAGCCTTCGTCTTCTAATCAACATAAATAATATAGTCGCTGTATAGTCCCTGTGATAAGCATACAATATGTGGTGCGAAGTAGAGCTAGGCTGAAGCAGTATACATAGTAAGCAAGATGTCCGTGATCGTGAATGGTACGTAGCACCCAAAGCGTGAATCATTAAACAAGGGAGAATGTGATGTGTCACTAGCCGTCGTACTCCGGAGGTGCTGTCCCATGCTCCCGTAGCATGTTGTTCACTAAGCCGCGAACAAGCTCAGGGATATTCTCTGGCTGTACTTGTCCGGAGTTCGAAGCCGTATCGTGTTGTGTACTCTGGCTTGGTACCTCGCTCGGAGGTGGTGACGTCGAGGAGATTGATCGAACCGGTGGTGGCGGTGCATTCATGCGCGCTAGTTTGGGGTGCACTGTCGCTGCGGACGCGGCAGCAAGCGGAGGGTAGGAATAGCCTGCGCTGACCGGACCAGCACTCGGGCCAGCACTTGAAGAGCCACCCGCATCATTCCACGGATCGTAGTGTGAGGATTGCGTGGGGGCCTCGTCTGTGAAAGGTTCGGGTCGGTACGCCATGAAGGGCTCGGCAGCGCCATCAACATCACCATCTTTGTCGAAAGGCTCATGCATTGGGCCTGAGCGCGAGCGGCTGTGCGTTCGGCGGTACCAGAGCGCTGCCCCTACTAAGGCGCCAAGAACGGCGACGCCTCCAATGACGCCGCCGACGATTGCACCAACCGGTGTAGATGACGAGTCCTGTGTACTGTCCGAAGAGGATGATGGCGAAGGAGCGGAAGTAGCAGAAGCATTGTGCGGCAGATAGTCGAAGGCTGCGTTGAGCACGTTCAACGCTATGATATTGCCATTGCTGGTGTAAGCTTGCGGAGGAGGACCAAAGATGACCGTTGAGTAGTTGTCCCCGGAGCGCGCGTTGCTCGTAAGCCCGTTGTACTGGCAAAGCTAATGAGATACGAAGCCGTAAAGACTGGCCGGCGTCACTCACTTGAATCGTGATGAAGGCTTCAACGAATGTCGCCAGGTCAGACGAGCTTGGGAATCGGCGCAATACTTCGCCGAGCGCGCGAATCAAGATGGCTACAAGAGGATCAGTGGCTGCATGATATGTTTGGAAGAGCACATACCTTTATCATCCCATGGGTTGTCACTTACGCCAGCATTAGCATCTGGACATCGTGTCAGTACATATCGATTGGAATCGGATTGAGCACGCACCTAGCAGAACACCGTCCGTTTCCGTCCACAGCGAACTGTGAGCCGCGGTCGAGACGACTTGTCGCAAGCTGCAACGACTTCGATCAGGGAGATCTGCGCAGCAGAAAATGCCATCGTACCGTTTAGTTAGACCCGAGTCGCTTGTGATATTCGCCCAGATGCTGAGCGGCTGAATGTACCAACCCTGAAAGCCGGGGCTGACTCCCGTATTGACACCACAGGTATTGATATCGATGACGGGATGGATGATATTGGAGGTGTCTAGAGAGCGAGCGTTAGTCAAGATCGTGCTGAGAAGCTCTGCAACCAGGGTATACCATTATAGAGGGCCTCATTACCCATGAAGTTGACAGTGTTCATGCCCGCTGTCTTGTACGTTTCGTTCTTAGTCGCCTCGTAGAGATAGCCTGCCAGTCTGGAGACACAGTCAGCGATTGCATTCGATGCTATACTGGCTTACATACGTCGCAAATGGTCTGTAAAAGCGTGAGAAGATGAGGACGTTGGGGGCGTGCATTCACAACGCACCCAACAGTATCCACTTGTATCTGAGTATTGTCCTTCACATCAGGCAGCTTAACAGTAAATGGAGACCTTAATATGCGGCTTCATGAGGGAGCTGGCAAGACTCACCCAGAAAACGCCGCCGAGAGAAATCGAGGAATCTAGCCTAGGGCATCAGCTGCGAGTCATGGTTACACAGAAGCCGTGTAACACACCTTGAAAGCAGCCCGAAGCGTTGAAGGAGATGTTGCGACTGGCCGGAATGGCTGTCTTCGCGTCAGCGATCATCTGGGCGGTAATGTAGTCCGTATAAGTCGTGTCCCATGTGTTTTGAGCGAGCGTGAGGAATGATGAGTCGCCATAGGCCTTGTACACGTAGTAGAATGTGAGCGCCCATTGACTGCAAAGGTGTCGATGACTTCAGTGCCCGAGAACGTTGCAGCACAATATCTGGGCACGTACATGCCGTTTGTGTTCGTCCGTTGCACGCCTGTCGTGCCGTTTCCGAAGATGTCGTTTTTGCCGATCCATGTCTTCACATTGTTGGTTACAGCATCCTTCCATGTTTGATTTCCGCTCAACAGATCCTGTAATGCAAGTGTCGTATAGAAGCTAGCAAGCGCCTGTCCATTGGCCTGGTCTGGGATCATGTCAGCTGGCGGAACAACGCATCACAAAAAGGCAAACATACCGGACAGGCTTCCGTTGCTCGCGATGTGGCTCACTAGCGCCTGCGCGGCGCTGTTCGCATACGACTCGCGAGTCGCGCGCGTATCCCCGGATGTCGTACTCTGGGTTGTTCGCCATCAGCAAGGCCGTGGCACGCGGTTTAAGGCACACGATACACGTACACCCCAAGCTGTCGGAATGGCCAAGTCTTGCGCAAATACACATCCCAAAGATAACAGTCCGACCGCTAGAAGAGCGGCACGGCGCGCCATGCTCGAAACAAGGGAGAGACAAGGTGGTAACGGGGAGAAGGGCGATTGTAGGCTCTGGCTCCGAACGATCAATTCTCAATTCAGTCACAGCACTACATCGGTCCATGTGTTTGTCGCATGGCATGATGTGCGCCCAGTCTGCTGGATGCAGTACGCGCACAGGATAGCACAGAATGACCGTCTCAGTGAGCCGCCTCACGCTGGATTGTAGTGGTGGCGAGAAAGAACCACGGTCTATCTGGTTTCGGGTAGCAAGGAATGCTTCCTTCCTCGTGGGCGAGAAGGCCACGACGGCGGCAAACACTCCGGTCCTCGGCTCGACTTGCCGACCTTTCGCCACCTGTCTCCTGCGTCCATCGACCGCCTACGGGCACCATTCGAACCCATGAGCGAATGCCATCTCCATGCGCTCTGAGTTCGACTGGGCGTGTCTACTCCTGAAGCTGTTGTTGCCGGTCGGTAACTTGAACACGAAACCGGAGTTACATCTACTCTAGATCCGCTGCAATGTACGCGTTTACGCATATATATGAATGCGGGTATATTCCAGGCGTCGCCAAGAGTGTTCTTCTTCATTCTCATCGCTGTTTGCCCTCAGTATGACGGACAGCAACTGCTACACAGGATGTGGACGACTGGGCAAGTCCCGGCAGCACCTGTTGACTCGCATGCGAAGGCGGAAGGATATATGCTTCCGCTGCAACCCCTCGATGGATATAAAGCTGGGTGCACTACGCGAGCAAGGGTCTCGTTTCTCCTTGTTCCTTCTCTTTGAAGCAGTCATGAGTGTCGATCAGTACACCGAGGACGCGATCTCGAGTCTTTCTAATACCATCGTCGACAAGGCACCCTACTTTGGCACCCTGCCTTTCCAAGATGACGCATTCGAGCTCTTCTTCAAAGACCAAAGCGGCCACGCGCAGTGAGCCAATCTCCCACACCACGCTCTCGTACAAACTGACTTGTCTACTCAGCTCTCTCAACCTGGCGAGTGCTACGAACGAGCAAGTCAGCACACTTGCAGAGTCGTGCTCTATTGCGCCATTTGGTCGCGGCGCAGAGTCTGTTATCGACGATGACTATCGTAAAATGGGAGTAATCGATCTTCCCGACTTCGCTATCCCGTTCCAGCCCGAAGGCACTGCACTGGGGCATGGAGTGCGAGAGTATGTTCTCGAGGGCGCGGAGTCTAAGCGTCTAAGTGTCTGATTCGCTACGAGCTATACAAGCTAAATGTCTACGGTGCGTCTCGTCTAGCATGCGCTGAGCATCTTTCTCACGTCTTCCAAAGGCGAAGGAGGGTTCTTCAAGGCACACAAAGATACTCCGCGCGGAAACGGGATGTTTGGCTCACTTGTTCTCGTCTACCCGACGGAGCACTCTGGCGGGGCCCTAGTCTTCCGCCACCAGGGGCAGGAATGGACTTTCGACTCGGCTTCAGCCGTTTCGCATGATGAAAAGCCTGCATTCAGCTACGCGGCATTCTATAGCGATATCGAACATGAAGTTCTCCCGGTCACATCCGGGTACCGCGTAACCATTACCTACAATCTCTACTTCGACGAAGTAGAGACTGCGTCGTCATCCACCCGTTCATCTGCGCTCGACATGTCTGATCTTGCAAATCGGCTTCAGCATCTCCTCGACGATCCTCAATTCATGCCCCAAGGCGGTTACCTTGGCTTCGGCCTGCGTCACGCTTACCCGATAGAATTCGACGAGCGCTTTATGCCTGTCGATAGGCGCGTACAACATATTACTGGCGTTCTCAAGGGCTCGGATGCAGTTATCCTCCGTGCGGCTCAAGCTACCGGCCTCAAGGCACAGTTACATGTCGCGTACGATTGCAAGGTACTCACGGAAGAGTACGATCGTTTGGTAGTCCTCACCACCGAAGTTGTTGGTGGCGACTACATCGATCAACAGATATGGAATCTTCTCAAAGAGCGCTACGGCGGTGTTACGCTGCGGCGGGCGATGAAAAGTACCGGGTGGAGCGTGCGGTACATTGGGTCACCCCACGCACAAGCGCGCCGCGGGTCAAGTCTGTGATGGTTTCGTATGGCAACTCGCCTACACTTGAATACCAATACTGGGAGCTCTGCCTTCTCATGGCCGTAGGTCCGATCGGGGCAAGGACGACCAAGGAAAATCTGATGCAGGACGCGCAGGATAGCGAATATGAAGTGTACGATTATTGGTAATGACAGTCTTAACCAGTGGTGTAAATGCATGTGGTTACGAAAACTGAATATGGACTGAATGATATATGGGGTACTGAACGCCCCGTTACAGTCACTCAAGTGATGGCTGGTTTACACTGCCGAAACTCCCAGATCCGGAATAGTTGTATTGATTACTATCGCATATTTCGACACGCTATGACATTGCAGTCAACTACAGATATCGCATAATTCGGTCAAGAATACAGAGCCCATCCACCTGAAGGATGGATTTCCCAGAACCATGTCCATCCTAATCCTGTCAACGTCCCACTACTGGATGTTCACCGCCTGCCCCTCGACCTTCTCAACCTTCGTGACTGTGACGATCAGAAGACCGTCCGAGAGCTTCGCGACGACGCCGTTCTTGTCGATGAACCCCGGAAGCGGGATCGTGCGCGTGAACTTCTCGCCGGGAGCTATGCGGCGCTCGGCGTACACGCGCTCCGGCGCATCCTCAGCGGAGGCGGGGAACGAGCCTTCGATAGTAACGCTCTTCTCGTCGTCGTTGACGCGTACGGTGATGTCCTCCTTGCGCACGCCTGGGACCTCGATCTCCACCACGTACTGAGTCTCAGACGCGAGAATGTCGAAGCGAGGGAACGGCGGTCTCCCGAAGCTGCCGCGCCCGAAGCGCGGGCCGTTGTTGACGCCGTTCGCGTTGCCCTTGGACGCGTTGGCCCACGGCGCACCGCCATTTGCGAAGCTGCCTGGCCCACTGAAACCGCGCGGAGGTAAGCCTAAGGAGGTGCGACCAAGGTCGCCGAATCCGCCTGCTCCACCAAAGCCGCCGAACCCTCCATGACCACCGAACCCTCCGCACCCTCCGAATCCTCCAAAGCCGCCAAGACCACCTTGTCCTGCGAGCCCGCCAAATGCGCCTGGTCCTCCAAGACCAGGGTGCCCGCCGAATGCGCCAGGGCCGCCGAAGCCGCCGAAACCGTAGCTACCGGGCCCACCGAAGCCCAAGCCGGCGCGAGGATCGCCGCCGAATCCACCGCGGAACCCCTCCGTGTCGAAGTCATCGTCACCACCGAATAGGCCACCGGTATCTCCGCGCCCAGCGAGGAAGTCGGCGTGTGCGCCGGGGCCAAAGCCGGGCGGGCCGCCGCGACGTCCGCCGCGAGAGGTGGCGCCTGGGAAGCCCGCGAGCCCACCGCGACCGCGCGAGCCAGAGAAGGGCTCGGGACGACCAGTGCCAGGCGGGTGCTCGCCGCTCAGAAGAGCTTCAAACGAAGCCGGGGTCGGATGGGAGTCGATGTTCAAGCCGGCCATTGTTTGAGTAGAAAGAGTAGAAGATTGATTGAAGAGCGTTTATCTGGTTGGTTGAGTGTGTGCTTGTGCGTTGGCTGGCGTAGAAGTGAGTTGTGCTGGACTTTGGGGTGCATTCTGGCTGGCCTTTTATACCCGTATCAGCCACCACAGCTCGACTCGAGATGAGCCAACGCGAGTACAGTAGACCGCGATCGAAACCGTCTTAGTCAGAGGTATGACGAGGTCCCGTTGGAAGACGACGCAGTCAAGCGGGCGCCAATCACCAGTTCCGTCGGAAGCAAGTCGGAGAGCCTGCCGCGCGTTGTTGAATACCACAGTGGCCGAGTAAAGGCTGACGCGTTCCGGGAGTGAGTCCATCGGCATACTGTCGAGGCGTAGCCTAGAGAGTCATGTAGTGCCAGCGAAGGACGGACGGCTGGCAAACCTGGTGTTCGAGAGCGCGTCCACGTGACCGGGTTCGAATCCGCCCTCGTACGCGCCGTCGCGTAGCCCGCATAGGAGAGACGTCAGCCAGTTCCGCCGCCACGCATACCATATACCGATGGTATGCACCACAGCACCTGTCGAAGTCAGTTGACCCAAGTCTCAGAGGGAAACAGGGTGGGATTGCGCATGAATGCCGTAGTGATACAGTGGTTTGTGAGCGTACACAGAAGGACTGAACAAGGGTATGGATACAGAATTAGATAGCATCGTGAGGCCAAACGGCCGTCCCAAAGAAAGAGAGCAATGCAGAGGCTATAACGCTCCCTCGAAGAGCAGTTTTCGAGGTTTGCTGAGAGAAGGCGCGGGGGAGATGAGCGCGGGCCTGTACACACCAGCATCAGCAACCATGCACACACAGAAGAGCAGAACAGTGCAAACATACATCGAAGTACCGCATCTCGCCGCCGGATTCCCCATAATAATACTCTCCGACACGCCCGCAATCTCATCCGTCTTCCCATACGCCGCCGCGTCGAATAAATGATCCGTCGTCTTCTCGAAAGAGGCCAACATCAACACGCTATCCTTCATCTTCGCCACGCCGAACCTGGTAATGCCCAATACCTCGCCCTTGTAGGTCATAACATCTCCCAGCAACATGACGTGTCGCGGATCGATACTCATGCCGTGCGACTGCATTGTATACTGGATCTCGTTGATGATGGTAACGCGCGCCGCCTCGATGCCGAGTACTTTCGCCGTCTCGATGACGTGGTTGGATGTGGCTTGTTCGCCGACGATGCCTTCGGTCGTCATGACCTTCTGGAGTCCGTAGCCCTCGACGAGGAGCTCCTTGTCGCCTTTGCGACCGCGCTCGTTGTCCTTGTCGATGACGTTGATGACAGCGCGTTGGATCGTGGGAACGCCCTTGACGACGACATCGGGGAGGAGACGCTTGAGCTCGCGGATGCGGTAGTATGCGTCGGTGCGGATGAGGATCTTCAGCCGGTTGCGCTTCGGGACGAGCACGATGTCCTGGGCCACAAATGCCACGTGAGCGAATGACCATTAGGACCGTGAAGAAGTAAGCGCTCACCTCGAACTTGACCTTGAGCTTCTTGTGCCGGATGATCGCCCACATGATATCGTCTAGCGTGAGCTCGAGCTATGGTGGCCGTCAGTATATGAAGGAGTGTAGTGGGAGTAGGGAACGCACCTGTAACCTCTGAACGCTCTGCATATCGACAATGATGCCCACATGCGCCTCCTGCACGCCCCACGCCTCCTCCAGCACGCTCGCAATCTACAACACCAATCAGCATTCCACATCACCATCGCCCGAAGCGAAGCACCACTCACATCGCCCAAATGCGTCTTCTCCAACCTACCCTTCACAATCCTCGCACTCGCCTCCGAATTAGCCGTAACAAGCTTACAGCTAATAATCGGCGTATTAATGACCTTCGCCGCATTAATAATCTCCTTGATCCGCGGCACGCCCAGCGTAACATTCATACTCGCGACCCCAGCGAAATGGAACGTCTTGAGCGTCATCTGCGTGCCCGGCTCGCCGATGCTCTGCGCGCCCACGGCCCCCACTGTGGACCCGGGCTCGATCTTGGCTTTGGCGTACTTCGACCAGGCGATGTCGAGGAAGGTGTTGAGCTGGGAGAGCGTGACGTTCGCGGTGTTGGATACGATTGCGCGCGCGGCGGGGTCGACGTTCATGCGCGCGTCCGTGTCGGCGTCGAACTGCTCGTTCCGCTCTCGCGCCTCCCACATCCCGCGACTCGCACGCGCATCCGCGAGCGCATACACGATGTTCTCGCGGATGAAGTTCCTGATCGTCAGGACGTACGCCGCGGAGCACTCCAAGACGAACCGGGGCGCCGCGAGCGCCTGGTCGGCCGCTTCGAGGACCTCGTAAGGGAGTAACCCGCGCCCGCCTCTCGGTGCGGTGGCCTTCGCATGCGTCCACGCCCTCGCGAACTCGATCGGCTGCGCGTCTCCCTCCAAACACGCCGGATCCAACCCATCATCTCCAAACCTAAACTGCACCACACCGCCCGTCGCATTCCTAACGCTCAGATCATACTGCGTCGTAAGATCCTCCAGCGCCTTCATCAGCCTCCTCTGCATATAGCCCGTCTCGGCCGTCTTGACTGCCGTGTCGACTAGACCCTCTCGGCCGGAGATGGCGTGGAAGAGGAACTCGGTGGGTGTGAGGCCGGTGTAGAAGGAGTTGCGGACGAAGCCTTTGGAGGGCGGTTCGCGTGATTTTTTGGGGAAGTGCGGGAGGGAACGGTCTTGGAAGCCGTCGGGGACGCGCTTGCCGGCGATGATCTGTTGGCCGACGCAGGCTACCATCTGTGAGACGTTGATCACGGAACCTGTGCCCGCATTAGCGCTCTTCTCTCCTAGTACCCACTGGATACAACGCACCTTTCGAACCACACGTAGCCATGATCAACGGCGCATTACACCTCGACAGCTCCTTCATACAAATATCTCCAACATTATCTCGAACCTTACTCAAGATCCCGGAGATCTCGGCTTCAAGCGTCTGCTCCTGGTTACACCCAGGCTTATTCTCGAGCTTGCCCTTTTTCGCGAGCTGAATGAGGTCGAGACACTTCGCGTAGGCTTCTTCGACGAGGACGTCCTTCTTGGATGAGAGGACGGGACCGGGAATGACGTCATTGATGCCGAGTGAGAAGCCGAAGTTCGCTGTGGCGAGCATGAGCAAAGCCGCGTATAGAGAAGCCACAGGGAGAACGTACCAAGCCACCTCGCACACAACTTCGCCGTGCGATTCATAGCCCTCGCCGCCTCCTCATTCCCATAATCCCTCATAATAATCCCGAACACGCTCTTCTTCTTCCCGCCCCCAACCGTAGCCTTATCCATGACCCCACACATGATCTCGCTGTTCACCACGACCAAGTACCCGTCGTTCGGGCTCAGATCCCGCGCGGGTCCGCCGGGCATGAGAGGGGAGTAGGCGCCGGGGGAGGGCTGTTGCTCTTTGTTGCATTTCGTTTCGACGTTGACGAGCACGGGCGAGCGGCGCGAGGGCCGCATGAGGACGTTGAAGACTTGTTTGCCGGTCCAGAGCATTTGGGGCTTCCAGATTGTGGGTGGTGGGAGGTCGATCTGTTCGCCGGCGTCGGCGAAGTAGCTGCACACCTGCGAGGTTGCATCAGTACCACACGCATAGGTAAACACAACGGGCGGACGTACCTGCGTGAACTGTCGTCTGTCCAAGAACCGATCGCGCTGCGTGAGAAGGAAGGCGGCGGTGATGAAGTCCTGGATGGCGGCGATGACGGGCTCGCCGTTGCGCGGCGTGACGATGTTCGCTTTGACGTCCATGAGCTGTAGGGCTTCCGTGCGCGCCTCTTCCGTTTGCGGGATGTCTATATGCGTCTGGTCAGCGAGGGTGCATACAAGAGGGGCATATGGACGCACGCAGGTTCATCTCGTCGCCGTCAAAGTCGGCGTTGTACGGATTGCACACGCACTCATTAAGCCTGAACGAGCGCCATGGTCGGACTTTGACCTACACGCAAGGGTCAACGTCCACTACAGATCGACTGTAATAGAGAGACGTACCCGATGACACATGATACTCAACTTGTGCAAACTCGGTTGCCGATTGAACAGCGCGACATCTCCATCGACCACATGCCTCTCCACCACATCTCCATACCTCAACCCATCCGCAATAACACTCCTGTTGCCGAACTTCAAGTACTTCTTGAACCCGCTCGCGCCCTGCGTCACATAGTTCGCTCCAGGATGCACGTCGGTGCCATTGCGCACGGCCTGCTGCAGCCGGACGATGTTGAACGGCGTAACGCGTTCGGGGTACGTCAAGATCTTCGCCACCCGTTCCGGCACCGCGACCTCGTCAATCCTCAAATTGGGATCGGGCGAAATAACCGTCCTCCCCGAAAAATCGACCCTTTTCCCGCTCAGATTCCCTCTAAACCTCCCCTGCTTCCCCTTCAACCTCTGACAAAACCCCCTGATAGGCTTCATCCCCATCTGCGCCGGCACACCGGGCATCTCCGAGTTGACGTACATCGCCACGCTCAACTGCAAGAACTCCCACTGCTCCATAAATTGGGACGTTGGTGCGCCTTTGGATAGGCCTTGGCGGATGAGCGCGTTGGTGAAGACTATTTCCGTGAGTTTGACTGTGAGGTCGTCTTCGTTTGATGCGCCGTCTTGGTTTACGGAGGGGCGGATGGAGACGGGCGGGACGGAGAGGTATTGCCAGATGTACTCTTCGGGCCGGTTGTGTTCCGGTCGTAGGCCTACGAGTTCGCAGTCCTGCATCCACTGGTAAGTGATACGTTCACATCATGAATCAAGTAAACGCACCTCATCACTCATACGCTTGAACAGATCCAACACCTTCAATGGGTTCAACTCCTCCAACGGCGTGCGCTGCACATACGGCCTCAGCTCAGGCTGCGCCGCAAGCGCCGGCTCGAACGACGCACGAAACCGCTCCGCCTCGTCCGCCGTCTTCTTCGCACGGTACCGGTCGTGCACTATACGCAGCGCGCCTGCCTGTACAGAGCACGTGAGCATCGAGCGCTTATGGAGGGGAATGAGCACGCACCTTCTTGACGGTCCCGTTCGTCGCGGCGCAGTGCGGGCAATAGACGCTCTTGCGCGCTTGTGCGTTGACCGCCTTCACGAGCGCCATCCGGTGCACGTTCTCCAGTCCGGGCCGGCGGAACCGCTTGAGGAAGGTGCGCCGGGTCGGTTCGTCGAGCATCACGCGTGCACAGGTCTGTGGCGAGGTATGTGAATACTTGAAGGAGAGAGCGGAGAGTAGACCATGGGAAGTGTATAAAGTCGCATGGGAACAACGGTAATATATGTATTGCGGAGTAAAGTAATCTACACACCTTACAAATAACCTGCAACACCCCGATCGAGTGCTTAAAGTACCCAATATGGAATACAGGCACCACGAGCTTGATATACGCATAATGCCCAACGCAATCCACCGCTCCCAACCCACACGTCTCGCAGAACGCGCTCTTGTCCGAGGTACCAAGTCGCCTATCTAGCACTCCATTCTTGACTGGCAATCGGTCGGTGGGCGTGTAGAGGTCGCGGTGGGTGACTTGGAACTCGGAGAGCTTGACGACGTCTTGGGAGGTGAAGGTGCTGAATTGCAGCTGTTTGCTGAGAATTTACATACTCAGTATGATAGTAACAGTTGTAGGGTATAGTGTACGCACATCACTTTTGGCGCATTATGCACCACGGTCTCCTTCATCGTCGCATATGGACGCGCGAGTCAAGACGCGCACAAATTCTTGCGAGCGCGCCGCGCGCGTTGATCGACATCTGCATCATCTCACGCGTCCGCGTCTTGACCGCATCACACCTTCTTTCTTTCTGACGCCCATCCCGCCGGCCCACAAGATGCGCCGGATCCGCTTCCCCTTTTCCTGTTCAATCGTCCAAATGTGCATTCCCTGCTTACGCTGCTCGGAAACGAATGAAAGATAAGAACCCGCGTTCTGCTTGAGTCGGGCTTGAAGCCGTATATTGCGGGCTGTGAGCACGTCGACGATGTCATGGGCTGTAGGCTTTCGCACGAATATCATGCGTTTGATAGTAGTCCTTGAACTCTTCTGGTCGGGATTACGTTCCATGGCGGGACCGTGCTTCCCGGTGCCAAATGTGGCCGCGTGATCTGTACCGCAGCTCTTCTACAAGCTAGCGGTATTTCTTTCCGGTGCATATATATAACCCCATCGTCCGGTTCAGCATTATTATCCTCGCAGGGCACACATCGTTCGCGCTCTCTTCACTGCCAAGAGTTCCAGATCCATATCATCCGAGCTATTCTTCATCCCACCCAAAAATAATGCCAGAACCCAAGAAACTCAACGCGAACTACCTGCTCGGCGACGAACCCGCCGAGATCAAGCGGTACGCCCTCCCTCCCCTATCCTTTAACCAACCAACCAACCTCTAACGCCACTCCCCAGCCTAACCTCGCAACATAACTTCGTCAAAGCCCTCTTCTCCAACCCCACTATCCTCCCCTCCTGCATCCCCCCATCCAAGATCCACCGCGTCCTCGACGCCGCAGCCGGTACCACAGCCTGGGCGCTCGACCTCTCCGACCAGCCCTTCGCTTCCTTGTACGAGATTCACGCGTGCGATATCACGCTGAGCAAGTTTCCTCCGCCCGATGTGCTGGAGAGGGCGGGGATCAAGACGTTCGAGCATGATCTGACGAAACCGTTCGGCGAGGAGATGAAGGGAGCGTTTGATGTTGTGCATGCCAGTGCGCTTGTGTTGGCGCTTACGGAGGAGGGGTGGAGGAGTATGCTTAGGAACGTATACGACGTGCTAGGTACATCTCTTCCCCTTCATTCTTTAGAAGATGGAAGGGACGCTGATGGATCGCGGCTCGTAGCGCCCGGAGGATACCTGATCCTCGCCGACTCCGATCTGCTCGCGTACACCGCCGACGAAGACCTCCCGCCAGACGGCACACCCTACGACATCGAAGAACGCACAAGCGGATCGAGTGCAATCCACAGTATGAATAACATCATCGCGGGCACCGCGCTCGCTAGCGGCTCCGTAATCGGGTACGCCTCCCCCACCCCATCCCCCCTTTATCCTTCTGACCACACCCCCCAGCCTCTCCTACCGCCTACACTACCTCCTCTCCTCCTCTTCCTTCACCACCATCTCCCGCAAACGCATCCCCGCGCCCACGGGCGCCCTTCTCTCTGCCCAACCCCACCTCGCGCCCTTCCGCGAAGAGTTCACCGCGAACCCCGTCGCGATCCTCGATACCATCACGAGCGCGTTGTTGAGCCAGGGAAAGCTCGAGGTGCCGAGGGGTACGAAGGTGGAGAGCGAGGAGGCGAGGAGGAAGTTTGTGCGGGATGTGAGGGAGGAGGTTGAGAGGGGGATTAGGGTCGTTGCTTCGGAGTGGGTCGCGCAGAAGTAGACTGTTGATGGATAGTGGATGAATTTAGACACTTGCTCTCACGCTGGCTTGGATCAATAAAATAGCTTATGGAGCATCGGGGCACCGTTATTGAGACTGGCGAGGGAGAAGTCTAGAGTCTTGACGCAAGCACAGAATACATCTCAGTTGGGGTTAGGGTTAGCACGACGCGCGTAAGGCCGGGCCCGCGCCGCACCGCCGCGGCCAGCAGGCGCCTCTCTTCTCGAACCATCATGCCACTCTACGGTCCGTTCGCTGTGACACCCTGACTCTTCAGCTCATGCTCAATGCGAAATATCGTCTCGAGAGTTGTGCTACGGACAGAAGCAAATCAAAGAGAACCAGTCCGCAATCTCACCCCTGGTTTTCTTTCGGGAACCCTCCTGTCAGTGCTTGTGCAGGGACCGACCACAAACCTCAGTTGAGGGCTTCTTCGAAGCATTCAAACCTATCCCTGGTACTTACTCTGGCGGCGCAGAAGCCCCATTTTTGGCATAATGATGCTCGTACCACAGGTCATTTATAAGCCGGATGAAAGACACGTCGGAGAGTCGGGTCGAGTATCAGCTGATGTATTGGGTGTCCGCTGACCAATCTACTCTTGTCGGCATATAAGTAGATCTAAGCTACATATACTACGCAGCACGACTACTGTACTCAGGTGGGGTCGATTCCTGCACACGTTCCTGCATCATGTTCCCCATCATCCTCCTGAAAGCCGAGACCGTCAGATACTCGTCGTCCTGTGTGCCTACCCCCGGACTGTCAACTGCAGAGCTAGAAGAAGACTCTGCTCTCACATATGAGCTTGGCATCTCGAGGTAGTCTGTCGATACAGGAGGTGCTCCCTTCGAGCGCCGTGATGGCCTCGAGTCCATGAGAGTATATGGCTCAATAGATACGATCTCGGGTACGGCTTGCATGTGTGTTGGTCTTGCGTCGATTTCGTTCTGACCTAATGATCTACTCCGTTCACTGAGACGACGGCGCCGGCGGTACCAGAATAGCGCGCCGAGGAGCACAGCCACTCCTCCCATGCCGCCGCCGACCCCGCCGGCAATGGCACCAACTGGAAAATGCGTAGGCGAAGCCGATGTACTCTGAGTCGCTGGGGACGTTGTATTGGATGATGTGCCGCTGTTGGATGGCGGTGTCAATGAGATCCGAAGGATGGCGTGAGTGTGGATACATACTTGAGCCTGGGAAGGATATCGAATGCGGCGTTCAACACGTCCATCGCAAAGATGTTTCCGCTTGAGTCGACACTTGGCGGAGGTGGCCCAGAGAGTGCGGTAGAGTATGTGTTGGCCCCTGGCTCGCGTGCGTGGCTGATAAAATCGTTGTACTGGACGGCAGTTGATGGTGATGAGATTTCAAGGAATACTGGTAGGACACCGACCTGTACATTGAGAAACCCTTCAATGAACGGGACCATGTCAGTCGCCGTCGGGAATCGTCTCAGCGTCTCACTGAGCCCACGGATGAGAATGGCTGTTGTCGACCGGTTCAATCGGGTGATGTTCACGAGTGAAAGGACATAATACCTTTATCATCCCACAGGTTATCACTATCAAGCTTCTCGTTCGGATCCGGCGGGGGATCTGAAGATAATCATGACTGGTCACTATCCTGAGTTATTGACGCAACAAAATCGTTGTACCAATCAGTATGCCATCGAGTTGTGCCCACTTTTCGTTGCGAGTGGACGCCCAGACAAGTTGACGAAGACTAATCACGATTGAATGACGGTGATAAGTATGCAGGCCCACGGTATGGTCTATATAGGTACGCACCGCGTGATGATTTGAGGATTGCCCGTGATGTTGCCCCATGTAGCCAATGCCTGCATATACCAGCCTTGAGGCCCCGCACTTGCGCTTTCGACCCAGCCACACGCGTACACAGCAAGCTTGCTATGCACAAGATAATTTGGCGCGTCTGAAACGACAGTCACACTTCGGAACGTGGCCCTGGACTCGGCAGATCACACCTTCCCACATCCAGGGCTCCACACCAAGAAAGTTCGTCGACTGCATCCCGACCGTCATGTACTTGTCATCTGATGTCGCTTCGTAGAGATGACCGGACAGTCTGGAGAAGATTTGCATATACTTCTTCGCCAAATGGAACAAAGACTCACACCGCAAAAGGTCTCGAAAAGGAGTCAGCACGTGTAGTTCAGAGATAAATGATGTCAGCCCGCACCCAACAGCATCGGTATAGATCAAGTCGATAGTTTGTTCATCAGGCAACTGGCGGTATGATGCTCAGTATGATATGGAACTGCAGGGTTGATGAGCACATACCCACCAGACACCGCCTGCTACATCAGCTGTTCGTCATCAGTCACAGCCCGACTGATCGATAAGGAGGTAGAAGACTCACAGAAGCAGCTGCCGTTGGTCGCGTTGTACTGAAAGGTGCGATTACCAGGCGCTTGATACGTGTTGGCGTCCTCGGCCGAGATATAGAGCGGGTATATCTGTTCAAACACTCCTTGAGCGAGGGTCAGGAAGGACTCGTCCCCATACGCTTCGTATGCGTAGATGAACGCGAGACCCCACTGGCTTAAGGATCGGGTTACATGAGTCTGGGCCTTGAAATGGTGAGAACTCACGCAGCATTGGAAACTGTCCGCGTCGAACCCGACGTTCCATTCGCGAAGACATCGTTTCGGTTTTCCCACGTCAGTAAATTTGAGGTCACCACGCTCTTCCACATCTGATTGCCACTCAGAGTGCCTTGAAGTGATAGAGTAGAGTACATGCTAGCGAGAGCTTGACTGTCCGTGTTGTCTGTGGGTGTACTTCAGCGCGTATTCTCGTCGATGAGTGACCTGAGCGGTACCTTCGAGACTGCCGTTGCTGATGATCCTCCCCACAAGGAACTGTGCTGCGGCGTTAGCAAGGTACTCGCGATCTCCTCGACTGTCGTTTGCAGCTGGATTCTGGCCATATACGTCAGCATCATCCGCTGCACCATTGGAGTATTTGTACGAACTAGCCAATTTGCATCCAGGGAGAAGTTTTGCGCGCAGACCTCAACAAAAATGGGCATTAATAGAGCCATGCTCAACACGAGATGGCGCATGACGCTGGACATTCAAGTGAGAGTTTCTCAAGGCGAAGGAGAGGAGGAGGGAACACGGTCTCCGCGAGGGACTCGAGCGAGCTCTATATGAAGGCATGGCATCAGCATGACAGATCGTGAGCGGTACAACTGAGAGAACGCGGGTGAGCTACTTACAGTGCTGCCAATGTATTCGCGGGTCACTACATCCGCCTTAGCGTAGTTGGAAACACGAGATGCACTAGATCATGCAGCGGATAGCGGGAATCAGTCACGGGAGAACTTTGTACGGCAGGGTGGGATCATTATGTTCGGCAGCAGCGCCGGTGCTCGTATCTCAGTCGCCGGCGGTACACTTGCCAGAAGAGGCAGTGGCAATGTCCATTTGGCTTTGCACGATGTCGGCTCACGATAAAGCTGTGTGAAGTGAGGTCGGAAGGCACAAGTATACCAGTCAAGTCCCCCAAGCGATGGTGAGTAGTAGCATGACACCATCGAATGGACTGCTCATTAATCAGTACAACCGTCGTTATCGGTATGCGCCAGGACGGACGTGCATGAAGCGTGGCCAGAGCTGTGGCAACCGCCGCGTGAAATGGGCAGCATGTGGCCTGCATATGCGCGGCGATTTTTTTTCTCTCCCTAACACCGAGCAATCAAGCGCCCTACAATGGGTGGCGAGCCATCGCACAACGATGCGAGCCATGGGAACGTATCCACATGTCATCCCACAGGAGCGATGGCACCGTCGAAGACTTGGTAAACCAATCCCCTCCCGAGCTAGGCTATCACATAAGACTACTTGGGTGACTATCTTCACCTACGTGGGGGTCTGTCCGTGCGGCGGCCGCTCTACAAACGATACAGTCGTCAATAACGATACAATAGCCAAGACGCACTCACCGTATCCAAAGTCACAACATTTATGCATGATATAAGCAGCACATGATATGGCCCTTACAGACAACGGCCTTCTCTCCTCTCCCGAAGGACTGGGCAAGCAAGTGCCCCATAGCGAGTTCAAAGACGGGCGGCGAACCGTCGGTTGCAGCGCGTACGACTCGGTTGCCCGTGAATAGCGATATCACGTGATTGCTTCATCCACTTCATTTGGCTGTAGGCGCCAACACGGCGCAGCGTATAGAGCATGTCAGGTATTATATCATGGCTCTACTAGGAGGTCATGGTGGTCAAGGACTAAGCTTCAACTCCGAACACGCCGGAGTGACGGATCAATCGATCAGGGCCGGATAGGCGCCCAAGCGTGCTAAGTATGTAGTGCGCTTGTGTTGGCGCTTACGGAGGAGGGGTGGAGGAGTATGCTGAAGAATGTGTATGATATGCTAGGTACGTCCACATGTGCACCGTTGAACCGATTGGATAGCTGATAGGCGATGTTCTCGAAGCACTCGGAGGATACGTGTCATCCTCGCCGGCTCCAATCTGCTAGCGTACACAGCCGACGAAGACCTCCCCCCTCGCCCCGACGGTACACTCTACGACATCGACGAACGCACGAGCGGGACTGAGTGCGATTCACAGTATGAACAACATCATAGCCGGCACTGCGCTTGCCAGCGGCTCTATAATGGGGTACGCCTCCCTTCTCCCTTTATCCCCCCTCCTAACTGGCCCTTAACAGCCTCTTCTACCGCCTACACGACCTCATCGCCTCCTCGTCCTTCACCACAATCTCCCGCAAACGCATTCCCGCCCCGATCGGCGCCCTCCTCTCCGCCCAACCCCACCTCGCGCCCTTCCGCGAAGAGTTCACCGCGAACCCCGTCACGATGCTCGACACCATTACGAGCGCGCTGTTGAGCCGGGGAAAGCTTGAGGTGCCGAAGGGTACCAAAGTGGAAGGCGAGGAGGCGAGGAGAAAGTTTGTGCGGGATGTGAGGTAGGAGGAGGTTGTCGCGCGCGTGGGCCCGGGGGCCGCGGGCGCTTCTCTTCTCGAACCATCATTACACCTGCCTGCAAGCTACTCTGGTCATGCTCAATTCTTAGTATATCCCTGATGTGCTACAGACGGGAACGAAGTAAAGAGAAATGGCCGGCAATCTCATCCCTGGTACTCCGGCGGCGCAGAAGCGGCATCTTCGGAGTGGTACCTGATGCTCGTGCCACAGGTTGTTCACAAGCCGTCTGACGAACGTCGAAATATCCTCCCTCCGCACGCCGCCCGTGTCCCCACTGGCCTCAACCGCATGCGCCTGTTCTTCCGTGCTCGGGGGTGCCACCGCGTCCTCGGCCGTGTTGGCCTCCCTAATGCCAGATGTAAAAGGGGGTGCGCCCTTAGTGTACGTCGCGCTCGGCGCGGTCAGCGTATATGGGTCAACGACAGAAGATCTCTGGACGTCCCCGGCCTTCATATCCCTCTCCCCACCGGCGTTTCCGCTGCGACGACGCCACCAGATGATCACAAGGAATATCATGGCAGTGCCTGAGACACCCCCGATAGCCACGCCCACTATCTCGCCAGTCGGAGAGCTAGATGCGGCATTGCTGCTTTCCGTTGACTTCCCAGTTGCGGTTGGGGTGGCCTGGGCTGACGATGCTGTCGTGCCATTGCTGCGTGGGGAGTGAGTAAGAACCTTTGCTCGACAATGGAAGATCAGAACATACGAAAGACGAGGTACAGCGTCAAACCCGGCATTGAGAATATCAAGAGCGAAGACATTGCCAGTGTAATTGATGGCTCCGAAATTGGGCGGAGGCGGCCCAAGTACATTTGGACTGTAATTGCCTCCGACACCCCGAGAATTGAATATGAGGGTGTTGTACTCGATAAAGCGGGCTTAAGCCAGTAGTCTGAAATACTGTAGGCTACGACGAGCATACCTGGATATTCAAAAAGGCTCTCACGTATTGCACAAGGTCCGAATCAGCTGAGTCCGTGCAACGGCGAAGGGTCTCGCTTAGACCGCGGACGAGGATGGCTATTCAATGCACCAACAGTCAATGAATAGCCGTACTCGGGGAAGCTCTGACTCGCCGTTTTCGTCCCAGGGTATAGCACTGACCGACGACGACTGGTCTGTACCTAGGGTTCATTGCATCAAAGCCAGGCCTCATAAGTTCTGCCAGAGTTCCAACGTACTAGCTAGCGAGCCATTCGTGTGAACCCACGGTTCGTTAGTGATGGTGGACCCGCTCACTGCTTGCCGTAGTCTAACGGATGAGCTGTCTTTAGGAACGATCCAATCATCTCATGCAATGACATACTGTGTGTTCAATGAGCTGTCGCCCGTGATATTCGCCCATACAGCCAGCGCGTGGATGAACCATCCTTGAGTACCAGAAGAGGTCGCCGTTGGAGAGTCGCAGTTGAGTAGATGCTGTACATTATCGATTATGCCAGAATCTATGATCTGACGTTCATCAGGAGCAGCATACAGATCTGTAGGTCATACCGTCCAAGTTCCACGATGTAAGGAACTTTGTCGACAACATTCCTGCATCCTTATATGTCTCGTTCTGTGTGGCTTCATATAGAAGTCCAGCTAGCCTGGTAGCAGATTCAGATGTCGGTGGGCGCAAAGGTTAACATCAGTTTACACTGCGAAGGACCTATCGAGCGGTCAACTATGATGTGAGAATGAAGTAGAGCAGTGCCATACCCGACACTATCCGTGTGAGACTCGTCGCTGTTCGGTGCCTCGGGGAGCTGTGGAGATTATATCAAAAAGACCGCCTCTAGCGTTCAGGCGATGGCATACCCAGAAGATACCACCTTCCGATGGCGCTGGAATGAGTGTCAATGCAGCTCGGTTGATATGGGCGGATCTTCTGACCATAACAGTTGTTTGATGGAGACACCTCGGTAAAATGGCTTAGGTTGCGATTGCCCGGCACATGCTGCGAGGTGGCGTCTTCGACAGAGAAGAAGTAAGGGTAGATTTGATCAAAAGCGTTTTCGGCCAGCTCCAGATAGGTTTGGTTGGCATAAGCTCGATATATGTATATGAAAGCGAGGCCCCATTGTCTATTGTTCAGTGAAATCAGAGTGAGTAAGGGCGATATGAAGCACGCATGTCGACATACGCTGCATTGCTTGTCGTACGATTCGACTTCGCCTGGTCTCCTGCAAAAATGTCATGCTGCGTGGAGAGCCATGTATCGAGCTTGGCGGTAACATTGGTCTTCCATGAGTCTTCAGCGGCCAGATAGTCTTGAAGAGCCAACAGGGAGTATAGGGTAGAAGCAGTTGGGCCAGTTTTCCCTAAACCAGCTGCTAAGAGTGTCAGGACGCGATACCAGGAGCGTTTCAGATGGCTCTCACGAAAGATGCCGTCCCAGTCTGGTAGTGCTTCTACCACCATCGATGCGAGCGCGCTGGCAAGTCCAAGTCGGGCTTCGCGAGTATCAGATGCGCTCGTGCCCTAGCCTCGACGTCGTCAATGACTTCCATTATTGCGTAACGAGATACTGACCACCCAGCTGGGATTGATGGCAAAGGATTGCGCTACTGCAAAACCAGGATGCAGACATAGCAGGAATAGCAAGAGCAGGTAGACACCAGTGCACCGCGAAAGGTAAATACCATGCATACACATTGCCATGGCAGTGGAGCTGAGAATGAGGAAATTATAGGTTCAGCGGGAAAGGGGGAAAGGGGGATGAGAGAACGACGGAGCGCAGCCTTTGTAATCTCATCATCTATGCTCTCTTGTCAAGTCCCCGAGGATCAAGCAACTGCATATCGCGATGCTCGCGATGATGCCTCACACTTCGTTGCCTCTCATCCACCTCGAGCCCATCCCAGATAGGAGCCATGACCAGACTCGCGACGCATTGGCAACGATTGAACCCTACGTTGAGCCTGCGAACGCCCTGCGGCCGCCGCGAACGACAACGAGCGAGGAACGCGAACGCGGGTATCAGCCGATAGAAGCGATCGCGTCGTTGACCACAGGAACGACCCGCCACACAGTATCTCAGGCGGTAGAGACCCAACTGTCGAGCAGGAAGGGGGCACCATGACTGCCAGCGCGTGTCATTGTAGGGCGCGAAAACGAGGTAAACGTCGAGATCTCGGTTCATGGTCGTCGGGATTGAATTTCGTGAGGTACGGGCGGGCCGAACGACGTCCTGGGGTTCGAGTGATGCACCCCACGAGTTGCCCACGAGATCCGACATTGATTCACTAGTATGGAAGTATGATATCGAGATCGGTTGTTGAGCCATACGTAGAAAGCGAACAAGATTGTTGTGGCTCTCAGGAGATGTGTGAACACGCCTAGAAGCACATCGTGGTGAAGAGCAAAGTTGGTGCGTCGTCGGGCGCCGATGAGAAACGCGTCGGAAGGAACGGGCCGAGCATTTGGTGATGTATTGGCGTCCACTAGTCCACTCATGTACGTTATGAGTATCTAGGCTATATGTATCACCCAACACGACTACGGTACTCGGGCGGTGCCGATCCCTGCGCATGCTCCTGCACCATATCACTCAAGAGCCGCCTATATGCCGATTCCGTCAAGTACTCATCGTCCTACGTCACGCCCCGAACTATCGACTGTAGACCCCAAAGAAGACTCTGCTCTCCCATACGGTTCCGGTATATCAAGGAAGCCTGATGATGAAGGAGGTGCGCCCTTTGAGCGCCGTAGCCTGTGTATGCTACTTCACAAGATCCGTGTAGCTGTACGCTGCCTTGAAGAAGAGGCAATTTCGGAACGCAGGAATCTGTGCCAAAATTGATAGGATCACAGCACGCTCCGGCAATCGCCGGTGGACTGGTCAAGTGGGAAAGTTGTGGGAAAGTTATCTAAACCTAGCCATGCTGGGTACTTACATCGATCGCTTGCACTCCTCCGGCTTTCCTCCGCGTTATCCCAGTGCAAATAGCAGCGTGCAGTAGATCCTCAGCCCACTCGAGAGTAGTGTAGTACTTGGCTACTGCACTTCTCCGGTCGGCAGCCAGTGGGTATGATGGCTGAGAAGATCCCTAGTACTTAACTCTTGACACCGACATGACGACACGTAGTCCACGATTCACTACTCGCACGTCCATGTATAGAACACAATAGATAGGTCTCACGTCTCGTGGTACAGTCGGTCATGCGGCCTGAGGTTTGAGGCCCTGCAGGGCTTAAGTCCGACGGAGTTGCCACTCTTCTTCCAACTACCACGACGTCGAGTGTACCACATCAACAGATTGTACTCTCCTGCGCTGCATTGTGATCAGCAGAGGATAGCGTTCTGAGGCTCTAAACGCTTTCCCGCCCATACGAGCTCGTGATGGCCGACGCCAGCACTCCGGTACTCAGCCTTCCTGGCGACATCCTTCTCTATCTGGCAGCGTTCTTTCGGCCAAGTCCGGCCGAGGTGAAAAACGGGCCCGAGTTGGACGACACCTGTCTCGCAGCATGCGCCAACATACCTGCCGTATGCAGAAGATGGCGCGAGATCTGCTTGGAGTCGCCATCATACTGGTCGTGCTTCGTACTGCCCAAGAGATACGTGCACCCCAAGCGCATGCTCGCGCGCGTCCGAGATGCTCCTCTCGACATCTATATCGAAGTGTCGGGAGATGCTACTATTGCGGATCAGGCACAGATTGCAGCAGATCTATCCTTGCTCAATGAGCATGATGATGCTCGCTACGTCAGATCCTTCTCCTTGCACAGCCACAAGGACGTCCCCATCGCGGGAACGTTACTTGAAAGTGCTATGCAGGTTCTCAACCTCGCCCATACACGTCTAGAGCACCTGTACTTTCACGACGGTCACCCCCCTCCGTCGGAGCGCGTCAAGAGCCCTGCACAAGCCCTGGTCTTGCAATCCCCTTATCTCTCCACCTTCACACTGAGAGGCCACCAACGCCTAGACTGGTCCCCGAAAACTTGCATCCTACGCCAGCTCACCCATCTTTACCTCGACTCCTTCAACTTCGCTCACATGTGTGGCGCTCTTGCAGACATGCCTCAGCTGCAGACTGTATTCGTCGATCTTGGGGACGGACAGTTAGCCCAAGAGGTGGACTTCATCCCTTCCCCAAAGTCATTGTCGTGGCCAGCGCTCAAGGAGCTGACATTACAATGCCACCCTATCGACGTTCCTGTCTTCTGGAACGCCTTGAACATATCACAGTCCGTTCGGGTTACGTTCATCATCATCGACCAAAGCCCGTTCGTTTCGCGACCAAGATCGCGCACACTGCTCGAAAGCGCGCTCTCCATGTTCTTCCCGAAGCGCGGCGGTGATACATCTTCCCCGAAACTGAACTGTCTGAGCGTACCGTGTCGAGAAATGAATGGCGAACTTCTGCCAGTCAGGACTCTCCTAGACTTTTACGCCGAAGGCTCGGAGGAGCCTGTGTCGTACCAGGACGATGAGGATGGAAGAGTGCGCCGGATGCTCGGGCGACCCGCGATGTCGTTCTGGATCGAGACCAAGTACGCATATCCGGAAGCCATGAGATATCTGGGTACCTCATTCAGTCACCTCGACTCGCTACACATTGGCTATCAGGATGATCCCCAAATCATCTATGGGATGCTTCCCTGTGTGTTCCACATGTCCGCGCTTCAGAGGGTGCACATTCAGGGCGGCATGGAAGTACCACACCTTCTCAGGTTCCTCATTGGCTCACGTGTACCCGGACTCCGCTACCTCATTATCGAGATCCTCGAAGGAGTGGCCAGATCTGACAATAATCCTGCGGCCTCTGTACTTCGATACCTGGACATGAGATTTGACTGCGATCTCCCAGACTTGGAGTACTTGGAACTTCGCGGTTGTGACATGGACGAGGACACGGAGTTGGGGCTCAGAGATCTCGTACGAAACCTTGCATTCAGTGGAGCGGAGGATTTATAGGCTGTCGTAGTTATACAACGAAGTTAGGATGTTATACATTGGGATTGCCACATAAAATGATCATGTTTAAACTTCATCGCCCAAGTTCCACCCAAGCTCCTCGTGCATCCATCCGAAAACTACGCGCTTTAAGCGAAAAGGGAGCGAGGCAGACCACGTTGAGTGTCCAGCTCATCGCTAGCCGTGACATCCGCAGACGGTGCAGGAACGTGTGCATTCGCATTGTCGAAAGAGTGCACATGTCGTACTCGCGTTGCCCTACGGCCCGGTACCGCCATCTAGCACCTGTCCGCGTCAATACAAGTTGACGATCTCGACGCTTCTATATACACACCCTAGACTAGTGGGGTATTGGCCCCAAGATCGCCTGTGGCAGTCGGAACGTCGGCTTGACGAGTTGCTCCGAAGTGCGGACAGCCGTCGAGCAATAAACAGCGAGCTTCGAGCCTGTCTAGTATGTGCCTAACCGGGTGAGGAGCGTCTGAACTACGAGCCGGCGGGATGCATGTTCTCCGGATGAAGAGGGGAAATGCCCGGGGGCGGAGTACCAGTTGGATCGTGGTGGGAGCTGCGGTCGAAGGTATCTTGTCGCGAACAACGACGACGCGCCGCCCGGTCCCACCCTCGAGCCTTCCCCTCTCGATCACACCCCCTACGACAATGACCTCGCGAGTGGATGTTGCAACGACTACAATCTAGACACCATAGCACGCCTCGCCCTCAGAAAAGTGCAACCTCGAACCATAGTACCGCCCGAATGACCTACCGTTCTTCATCCAGTTCACGCCCGACCCTGCACTCACAGGCTCGCTGTCAGCCTCTCACCCGGGACTCATCCCCTTTCGGCAGAGTTCTCTGCGAACCGATGACGACGGTGGATAGACTCACAAGCGCGCCGGCCGGCCGCGGAAGGCTCGAGCTGGCTCGAGGTACCGAAGTACCGAAGGATACAAAGGCGAAGCGCAAGGAGGTTCCCGAATATATACGTCGCGCAGAAACGAGCATATGACACTCTGTCCAATGTAATACATATGTAAATCTACTCCCGTTCATACGCTACAATGCCACACACTAGACAGCCGTCCCATATATATCTACTCAACGCGACTGCTATACTCTGGCGGTGCGGACCCCTGAGTATGTTCCTGCACCATATGCCTCAATAACCGTCGGAAAGCTGACACTGTCAAGACCTCTTCATCTCCAAGCTCCGCTCCGCCTGCGCTATCCACCGCAGACTCCGAAGAAGAGTCTGCCCTCCTGTACGTGCTCGGCACATCGAGAAAGCCCGAAGATGAGGCCGGTGTCAACTTCGAATGGGAGGGGCTCGAGCTCATGAGAGTGTAAGGCTCGACAGACACGACTTCCGGCATGGTTTGCGAATTTGTGTGTCTGGTCGTCTGCTCATCCGGGGCGGCCGTTTGGGTCTTCTGGGCTACGCGGTGGCGGCGGCGACGGCACCAGAGAAGCGCACCGAGGAGTACAGCCATCGTGATGGCGCCGCCGATAACGCCGCCCGCTATAGCACCCGCCTTAGAGGAAGCAGGTGAAGACGATGCATCTTGAGACGATGGCGATGATGTTGGCGCTGTTGAGGACGTCGCGCCCGCCGATGCATTGCTGTCAAATAGTGGTGTTAATGATCATCAGAGAAGGCGGGACGTCAGAACAGAATGTGCATACTTTGTGCTGGGAAGCATATCAAAGGCGGCGTTGAGTACATCCAGGGCGAGAATGTTGCCACTCGAAGCGTTACTCGCGGGAGGAGGTCCGAAGAGCGCCGTAGAGTAGACATTGCCGCCCGGCTCACGAGCGTTGTTGACGAGTTCATTATACTATGATCCGCACAATCAGAGGGAAGCGGCGAGCTAAGTGATGCAGCACTGACTTGTACATTCAGGAAGGCCTTGATGAACGGTACGAGATCTGTCGAGGTTGGAAAACGGCGCAGGGTGTCGCTTAGACCACGGACGAGGATGGCTGTGGTTGGATAGACGTCAACATCACTCCGTGTCAATCACAGAGATGGTAGTCACCCTTGTCATCCCAGATGTTATCACTGTCGTTCCGACCGGGCGTGGGATCTATGCAACGGCTCAGACAGTTGGAGCCATGGAAGTCCACAGGTGTGACCTGATGGCTCACCAACTAGTATACCGTTGTCTTGCGTCCAAAGAGAGTTGCGGGTAGACGACGAAACAAGTTGGCGAAGGCTGTTCCATTGCATCATCAAGAAGCCTTCCGAACATACCGGAAATGACATACCGTTGTGTGAGCGAAGCATCGCTCGTGATGTTACCCCACATAGCCAACGCCTGGATGTACCAGCCTTGAGGTCCTGGGCTTGGCTCGGCGACATATGTACATGTGTAAAGGGCGCTCTTCGTATGTACGTAGAGCTGTGAGTCTGAGTAGGCGGTCAATCTTTGGAACGAGAGGCAAACTCTACAACGACCTCGATGACCTACGCACCATCCCACATCAACCCGATCCCAAGATACTGGGTGGAAAGCATGCCGGCCGCCTTGTAAGTCTCATTCGAGGTCGCTTTGTACAGATATCCAGACAGCCTGAAGAAGGGACTCAGTATGACCCCACTTCCGATTCGGTTTTGAAATCACTCACACGGCGAAGGGTCTGTAAATCAAGTATCAGATCAATCGCCGACAGGGTGATCGATAGTGGAAACGGCGCACCCGAGTGTATCGGTGTGAATCTCATCAATGTCCAAGACATCTGGCAACTGTAAGAATCGCCTCAGAGCGCCGACAACAGGACACTACGACGGCAGACGCTTACCCACCAGATACCACCAGCTCCCTGTGCTAGTGCAAGGTAGTATCAGTGAGAGGCAGTTACTATGGGCGACCCCAAGAGTACACTCACAGAGACACGTCCCGTTCGTAGAGTTGTATACAAATGTGCGATTGGCTGGCGCATGGTACGTGCTCGCGTCGTCGGAGGTGATGAAGTACGGATAGATTTGGTCGAAACCAGATTTGGCCAGATCCAAGAACGACACATCTCCATAGGCTTCGTACGCGTAGTAGAACGCGAGACTCCATTGACTGGGGGAGACCTGCTCAGTGAGGCTCGAGAGTGAGCACGCTGTACGGTGAACTCACGCGGCATTGGTCGTAGTTCTCAACGATCCTGAGGTGCCATTTGAGAAGATATCGATCTGGCTCGCCCGCGTGCGGAGGTTTGAGGTGACTGCCTCCATCCATGACTTGTTGCCGGTCAGAATATCTTGGAGAGCGAGAACAGAGTACATGCTCGCAAGAGCTTGACTGTTGACGATGTCTGTTAGAGTGCATCAGTATAGCTACTTCATCGGATAGATGGAACACTCGTACCATCTAGAGTACCACTGGTAGTCATCTTCTGTGTGATAACCTGTGCGGCGGCATTGGCAAGTGCTTCGCGGTCCCCACGAGTGTCGGTGGCGCCGGGATTCTGTGAGTGAAGCAGACAACGTCAGTATAGGACGGTGCACGCCACACTCGCACTCACAATCCAGCTTGAGTTCAAGGAGAAGTCCTGTGCCCCGACCTCGCGGCAGGCAATTATTAACAAGGTCAGGTAGATCAGTATGATCTGCTTGAGTGCAGACGCCGCCGTATACGGCTTCATTGTGTCCAAGATCGAAGCAAGTAAATGGGGGCGAAACAACCTGGCTCGATAGTGACAGAACTTTATATGAGAGATCGGTTCTATCTGGAGGAATCAGCATGGACCAACAGCGACAGCCGCGTAGAACGTCCGATTCGGATAGCAGCGGATACAGACAACGTTTCATACATCCAAATCTCCCATGTAATCGCTGGTAACGCGCTTGCGACGAAGGAAGCACGACATCTTTGTGAATGCAAATGATCTGCGGGAGATTCGTATACAGGTGGCGCAGATCTTTCTGTTACAAGTGCACGCAGAAAGAAGCACAATCAAGACAGAGACCACGTTCGTCCTCGCGCTGCGTGTCGCACCAGCGCAAACGAGGAAGGCGGGCGCCAGCTTGGCCGTTCGGCGAGATTGCTGTCTGATATCAACCCTTCTTTGGTCGTGATTGCGTCCGGCGTTGAGCATGAGCTTCGCATTGTGTTTTGAGAGTAGCTCACAAGCGCGCTACGGTGGTGATACGATTGGGACGCCAGGGAGCTTGAGGGGTGACCGGTGGAAACTAGGATGAACTGGCGCCCGCCGCGCCGCACGCCCATGGTTCGAGTGGAAGATAAAATCGTTGTTTCACAATTCAGGCCGTTGGGTGGTATGACCATCATCACAAGAGGCGCTGACGCTCATGTCAGTGTGTGATGGTGATGGTCGAGAGGGAACTGCTTGGAGTCCACGTCGCCGACCGTCGCCGCTGGGAATCACGCTGGATCACGCGTCATCGATCACGGCCCGAAGTTCGTAGCGCGAACCTCTCAAGCGCCCGTCCGTTCGTCGCTCGAGCGCCCACCCTGCACTGTAACCACCGCGACACTTGCCCCACGGGTTGCCATTCACCATCGTGCTTATGCTCTTCGACTTCGAAGAATACGGTGTGCGTTGTGGAGATAGCGCAGGCTTCGCTCTTCCATCACACCGTCGGTCGCGCTGGTCGCTTGCTTGCACGTGGCTATCATCGAGATCATTGAAAAGCCAATTATAAATGCAGTAGGGCGCGTCTAGCAGCTATCGAGTGTGGAAGCTTTATGCGGAATCACTGCCATAGGCGGGAGGTGCGGATCCTTCCGAGTGCTCCTGCACCATACTGTTGAAGAGTCGTCTAAAAGTCGACACTGTGAGAACGTCTCCGTCTCGCCACTCTTCCTCAGTCGACCCTGGCGTCTCAATTGCCGACCCTGAGGCCGGCTCCGCATCTCTAGTACTAGAAGAGTACTCTGGCCTGTCGCGGCCACCCGTCCCAACGAATGGCGACTCCCCCTTCGCGCGTGGCGCACGCGAAACCCTCATTATATACGGCTCGATGTTTGCGACTTCGAGTGTACGCGAAGCGTTATGTTCCGCTTCACTTTCGTTGACCTCACCATCCGCAATAGCCATGCGGCGTCTCACACGATGGCGGCGGTAGAGAAGAAGCAATGCGGATAGGACGGCAACGCAAGCACCGCCTACGGCGCCACCCACTATCGCGCCCATATGAGAAGCGCCGGCGTTTGATGCGTTGTCGTGGGTGTCTTGCGTAGATGTGGTCGCTGGCGGGGCTCCAGACGATGTTGGCGCAGGCAAGACTGCATTACTGTTCAGCGTCAGTTTAGTGGTACAGGACACATATGCATAACAAGGCTCACTTGGACTTAGGAAGAGCATCGAAGGCGGCGTTCAGCACATCCAGGGCAAAGATGTTACCGTTTGTCTCGAAGCTGGTAGGAGGCGGGCCGTAGATCAATGTAGAGTAGGCATTGCTTTCGGAACCCGTTCGTGCCTTGCTTATGAGCTGATTATACTGCATTGTCGGCAAAATCAGACGACAACCAGGACAGACCGGGTCAAACTAGACCGACCTGCACATTTATGAAACCCTGAATGTAGCCTGCGACGTCGGTCCATGTTGGGAAGCGGCGCGACGTCTCGCTCAAACTACGGATGAAAATAGCTATTGGTTCAATGATCAGACGTGGTCCTTATCAGAGAATTGGCGGAGACTGACCTTTGTCGTCCCAGGAGTTGTCGCTGCCATTACCGTTCCCGGTCGGGGGATCTGCAAGCGAGTATCGGTCTGGCAACCGGGACGAACACCGACTGAACTAGTACGTACCGATGAGTGTGCCATCGATCTGGGTCCAGACTGGGTTCTGTGTAGCGGCCGAGACGACATCCCGTAGACTGAGCCATGATTCGTAAGAGACTACATGGCGCTAAATCGCCAGACTAGGGCGCACCGCGACGTGATTGCAGCATCATTGGTGATATTCCCCCACACAGCTAGCGCATGTATCATCCATCCTTGAGGTCCAGGGCTGGGGTCTGACCAATGACCGCACTTATAAATTTCGACCTCAACGAAGATGTTATACGGATAGTCGGCTGAAGATTGTCAACCATGCATGGCGCTCGAGATCAAGAGCGACCTACTGTTCCATATGGCGCCGGTCCCGAGGAAGGATGTAGAGAGCATTCCAACGGTCTTGTAGGTTTCATTCTGGGACACCTGGTAGAGGTGGGCAGCCAGTCTGGAGGGTTTCATTAGCTTCGACTTGAAGGGGTGTTTGGGACGGCAAATACACAGCGAAAGGGCTGTAGAAACTGGTCAACACATGTTGAACTCGCGCATAATTCGCTTAAGAAACCGTCCTACCCGACGCTATCTGTGTGAACCCAGTCATCGTCATGCACGTCAGGCAACTACCCAAACGATCTCTAAGCCACGCGAAGCACCTAAGACTAGTCAAGGCCACTTACCCACCAGATAGCACCTGCTGCCCGAGCTAAGGTCGCATGATGAGCGAGCGAAGAGGGCTGTATTCCGGTTTCCGCTTACATAGACAGACACCATTGGTGATGTTGTACTGGAAGGTCCGATTTGCGGGCGCGTGGTATGATTCGGCGTCTTCGGATGTGACGAAGTAAGGGTATATTGCATCAAAGGCATTTTGAGCGAGAGTCAGAAAGGAAGTGTCGTTGTATGCTTCATAAGCATAAGCAAACGCGAGGCCCCATTGTCTGCAGTGGTGACGGTGAGCAAGACAGTAGATAGAGTCATCAAGCGAGGAGTAAAGAGCTCACGCAGCATTGGTCGTCGTTCGCAACGAGCCTGCAGTGCCGTTCGTGAAGATATCGTTTTGAGCGGCCCACGTCCCCATTCCAGTAGTGACGGCTTCCTTCCACGTCTGGTTTCCGCTGAGCCGATCTTGCAGAGCCAGATTGGAGTACATGCTTGCCAAGGCCTGACTATTGACGCTGACTATCGAGTTGATGAACAATATCGTCCGCTGTAAACGATTCGCTACCTCTCACCGTTCAAGTTGCCGTTTCCGCCGAGTCTCTGCACTAGAGCTTGTGCAGCTCCGTTTGCGAGCGCTTCGCGGTCGCCACGGCCATCGATGGTATGCGAATTCTGCCTGTATCTGTCAGTGCTGTACATGTATAGAGGCGAGGTAGTGCTCACGGTCCAGCTTGAGTTCACAGTGAATTCTTGCGCTTTCGCGCTCCGAAGGCAGGTAGATCCCAACAAGAAGACGTTGAGCAGGAAGGATCTCCACTGCATTGAAGCACCGGAATGACACTTCATTCTGCGCCCACGCGATGAATAAACAGAGGGAACGGTTGAAATCGAGCAATAGACCAGAGTCGCATACAAATATGAGACTGAGCAGCCAGCACATCTCCTTGATGATCATAGATGTTATAATCTGACAGCGGGTCACAGTCCTTGATGAAAGGGGATCGAACCGAAATCACTACAGTCCCTGGCGTATGCATTGATTGGTGGCGTCTTCGACGTCCTAGTCATCATCACCAAGTAGAAGTTAGTGTTGGGGCGGAAGAGATCTCCTGGCTTGCCTCCGATAACGTCGGGCTAGGTAACGCACGTATCATGACCCCTTACACGTCCAGTCATAGAGAAATGCATCTGCACACCCAAGATCTGCAAAAGCAGCAGTGCATGAGAGCGACAAACAGGGGCGGCAGCGAACACAGCCTCGCTACTCATGCGCTCATGTGTCGTTGACCCTGCCCTATACCGTGAGACATATCATTCGGACTTCAGGATGCCAACATGCACAAGACAGGCTGCTGGACAAGCGGGTGAGATGCCAAGTACGCAGGTCGGCACCCTAACAGGTCGCTCTAGCATCTCTTGAAAGCGAGCAGGTCTGCGAGAGACGCGTAATCGGCAGGTACATTGTCTGAAGGGGCATCCGAGCATCGCATCGAAAGGTGGTCTTGACTAACATCGTCGAAGAGGCCCACAGAGCGTCTAGAGTCCGTGAGCCGGAGGGCATCCGCGGCGTAGGTCAAGATGATGGTTGAGAGGAAGGCGCGATTGAACGCGCCGATCAAGATTTCTACGCCGCTTCATCAGCTCAACGCGCCTCATGGTACGTGGATGTCCCAGGAACGTACCTCTACTACTGTTTCGGAGAGCACTGGTACCGCCACCGAGGCCGATTCCATGAATGTTGACACGATCATCTATCTCACAACCCGTTCAGATTGATGATATCCCGGTTATGGTAGTGTCACATGTCCAAGGCCGAGATTGCGCTGTATGTTTAGCGCTCGTAGGCGGACAGTACATCGCTCCTGAAGACTGTGTATGTATGCATCAGCACAATTGCGAGTACGGTGTTGGTGCCAGAAGTGCGGTATATCCGGCATAATCGATCGCTCTACAATTCGACGTGTCCGTTCTTGCGAGCGAATATACGGCCCTTTGCATTGGGTATGTTGAAACTGAGCCGCGGCATCTCCGCGTGAGATAAGCAGCATATGGACCGTAAATCCAACGATAGACCCGAAGACCGGGCAATCAAGCGCCCTACAGCGACAGTGGGTGGCGAGCCGTCTGATTCGGTTGCAGCGCGTACGACTCGGCCGGAAAGTATATCCACATATCGCTCTGCTGAATCCACTCCATTCGGCCTCTGAGTCCGCGCGGCGTATAGAGCACCCCAGCGATCCCAACCAGGAGGTCATGGTGGTCAAGAACGAAGCTCCAAGTCCGAACGGCGCCGGATTCACGGATCGCGGATTCACGGATCGGGGCCGGATAGACGCCTGAGCGGCGTCGAGCACCCGTCCGCGCGGTGCCACGCATCTCCGAGCGTGATATTGTATGCCAGCCGAATACATGTATTGATTTGTAGGCACCGGCTACATGCTAACGTCGTAACGCCGAGGAGATGTATCATTGTAACACACAAACTGCCATGCGGCAGCGATACACCGCTTTCAGGAGAAAAGAACAGGGCAGGACACGTACATGATTGTTGGGAAGAGCCACAGTAAGAATAGACATGTCATTGTAGTAAGAGAGTAAGAGTAAATGACAAGCGCACGCCGTCGAGACATTTACGGCGTACATTAGATAAGAGTTGGGCAGTGGGCATAGGGTAGCTCGGACAGCGTTCTCGAGTCTCAATGAGCCGAGATACGTATCATTTCATCGTGCACATCGACCTCTTCCACCTCAGACCTCAATCCTTGTTCTTGCGCTTCTTGTGTACGGGAGCAGCAACGGGTGCAAGAGCGGGGCCGGACTTGATCTTCTTCTTCGGCGGCGCCTCCTCATCCGGCTCTTCCTCGTCCTCAACATCGTCAACCGCCTCGTCCTTTTCTTCCTCCGATTTCAATTCATGGACGGCGCGTTTCTTGGCGAGAGCGGGAGGCTGCGCGGCGTGACCATTTGTGAGCTTGCCGTTTGGTTGTGGAAGAGTTGCGATCGCGGGAGGGGCTGAGGGGTTGGTGTAGGTACGACGAACGCGGTAGACAGGAGGAGACGCGAATAAGAATCAAGTACTCACGCTGTTGGGCGTCACGTCGCTCTCGACGTCCGATTCGGTCGCGACAGCGGTCGCAGGTGTAGCAGCGGCTGCGACAGCGGGTATAGGCGCAGACTCAGCCGGTGTCCCACCGCTCTTGGACAGATCGAAGGCGGCTTTACGCGTCTCGTAGTCAACCTTCCTACCACGTATGCTTCTTCTCATAAATCTACACACCGAACACCTCATCAGCGATCAAATCCTCCAATACAAGAACTACAACATAAGCCGTACCTCTTTCTCCTCCGCCGGCAAACCTGCCCAAAGCTGCGAGATACGCGTCATGATCTCGTGGTGTGCCATCTCGGGATGCTTCTCCCTCAACCGAACGCGAACATCGTTCTGGAAGAGCAAGTAACTCGACGCGGGACGTTTCGGCGCGTCCAGATCCTTCTCCTTGACCGCGCGCCAATCGAAGACGCCTTTACGAACTGGGCGAATCCCTCGGCTTAAGCGGCACAGGCGCGAAGATGTTCGGCGAGCGCGACAACCGCTGGGTGGTCGCTATCATTTGAGCCAGATCAATGATGCAGGCAGTAGTACTGGAGGCGCCGAGCAGGACCGTGAAGTCAGACTCAATCAAGGCGGTAGTGTAACGTTTTGGACCCTCATGGCGTTGCGGAACTGGGACGAAAGGCGAGTGGCGAGCTCGGACAACGACGCGGGTCGTGCGTGGGAATGAACTCGGTCGACGGCCCGGAATCGGTCGCGGCAAGTTGACCGTGTACGCGCAGAAAGGCTGCTGCACTCTGTACGACCACGATAGTTGCAGGAGTTGCTCGACTCTATCGACGCAGGATGACCTTTATGCCAGATACACAAACTTCCCAGATTTTTGGGGCCAGTTCAACCGTATCCTCTCGACTCGAAGTTCGGCACAGCTTTACAACCCGGGCTCTGCACGGTGGTCGCTGAGGACTCCCTGTGGGGGGACATCTGCAAGAGATGGACATCCGTGTCTGCAATGATGTGAAGATGCAGTCTCTATGAGCTGGCTTGCGTCACCCGCGAACCACAGATTACAGCCTGTCTGGCTATCTCGCTTGACTAACCGCGCATCACCGTGACCTGCGTACCTGTCCAGCGCCTACTCTTCAACAAACTCACACGCAACTGTGACAGGCATCATCGTAAGTACTCCTCATGATAGATCATCTCTCGATGACTCCAACTCCCCCCCAGTATAAGTGGCATGTTGAATCTGGATCTAGCTGTCCGCTATAAAGTCTGCGCCAGATATCACTTCGAAGTCAAGCAGCGATCGCAACTGAGCCACCCATCCATCATGCGCGCAATACCCATCCTTCTCTTTACGGCGATCCTGACCATCGGTGCCTCCGCTGCCCCTACAAGTCAGTCGTCCTTGACGCTCGCTTGTACTACAGCTCACCGACGTCCGTCCAGGCGGTGATCTTTCTGCGAGAGGAGACCCGGACTGGCCCGTCGGGTCCCAAAATTAGAGCTACGAAAGTTAGAACAACGCGAACGCGATATCGTTCAAGGCGAGCTCGACCTCGACTATCCACCATTGACGTTAGCTGACGATTCCAAACTTGTAGTCTTATCGCGTCAAGTTCCATTGTCGGAGAATGTGAGATAAGAAGGCGTTTGAAGCGACTGGATCATGATTGCTCCAATGTACCGCATCCATGCGTGAATAAAGGAGGAGACGTTGTATAGCTAGAAGTATCACTATCAAGATACGGAGATCATCGATGCCCCACGCGCGACTATAAGTTCGTGCACCCGTCATAAGCACAGAGCACCTAGATCATCGCCCTCCCACCAGCAGCAACAGAACCGCTATCATATCCATCGTAATGCGCGTTCTCGCCGTCTTCGTCTGCATAACGTTGCTCGCCACAGCTAGCCTTGCATCGCCCTCATGTGAGACAAACCTTAAGCATCTCCGTAGCTGTATGTACCTGACGGGACATAGACAAGCGCGGCGACCCAAGCGACGGAGATCCGCCCACCGAGCAGGAGTGAACGAGCAGCCTAAGCGTATAGAGGTATGCTGGGCGCTGTCCTAATCACCATTCACGCACCACAGGATACTCATCCTTCCTTTCCACCCCTCCCACTCCTGTATGTACCTGGTGTAGTGTGGATTACGGGGCAGTACAGCATGTATGCACGGAGTACTACTTGAGACTATGATGATGAAGCTTGTCATGATCAGATAGGAGATCAGTACATACAGGGAACCCCCACATCGAGAGAATAAGACCTCAGACGTTAGATACTGTGTGAGCAAGGTGGGCTATGGGCTTAAAAAATCTTCTCCCGCTGCCGCGATACGACCAGAAAGCCGACCTTGTCGGGAAGAAGCCGATGATCATACCAACGTTGTACCAACGTGGCGTGAGAGACCATTCATCATCGCCATAGATGAGCTTGAGCCTCACTTCCGATTGAGCGTCAAGATAGGAGCGGGAATGGACGCCGTGGTGCGCGAGTCGCCGGCTCGGGCTAGCTTCGGGGATCTTTCCCGCATCCGCATTGAAATATTGACCCTTCGTGTTGTCAGCTGGCGATTTGCGCTCGGTCAGAACCTACAACGCATCTGCTTGTAGTCCGCCTGATCCAACCGAATATACCGCCGGCGACCCAACAGCGTGAATTCGGATCACAGGCCCATCCAACTTGAATACAGATACCAAAATGGCAAATACAATGATTATTCTCAGAGCTTTCCAAGCAGACCTTCTTCAGACCATGTCCTTCCATCCGTTTGCAATCCATATATACAGCGCATCTTGCACCTTCCAGCGCGCACGAGGTCGCGGTGTGGTTGATCAGAAGTCGCCGCCGAAGTCGCCTCCTCCATAGTCATCCTGCTGACCGTCCTGGTAGCCTGCAGAGAATAGGCGTCAGATCAAGCATGTCAGATGAGTACCACAACGCATGAAATGAATGCTGAGCGGATCGTATGCATCAGAGCATAGAACCGAGCACATGAACCGGGATCCAAACAAAAGATCGTGCGCATTCACGCGACAGATCAGACGACAAGCGGCAGGAAACAGCGCTGCCCAAACCAGTCCGAAATCCAAGAAAAGGCAAACGCACCATCCTGATACGCCTCGCGCTCCTCATTATCCTCGTGGTTCTCGAGCGCCTCGCCAAGAAGCACACCGCCGAGTAACCCCGCACCGCCGGCGGCAACCGCCGTCCCGATACCCGGGCCGG